GGCTCTCAGGGAGGGTGGGCAGGGGAAAACAGAATAAAAGTCCCCAGGGGCGGTCAGTGGCCCCGGGTCTAAGCAAGGCTCTGTGGCAGGATGATCCGGAGGGACCAGGACACACTGAAGCAGCTACTGCACCTGGGCCTGGTGGTGGTGGTGAGTGTGGTGGGTCAGAGGTCACGGGGGGGAGGGGTGTGTGTCCTGCAGCCTCCTCACCCTCCTTTTCTCCAGAGCTCCCAGGAGAGCCAGGAGTCTGATCAGCCGAAACTGCTCACCAGTGTCATCATAGGACTGGCAGTGGCCTTGTTGCTGGTCCTCGTGATTTTGATCACTGCCCTTTTGTGTGTGCGGAAGAGGTATGGTTTGCATGTCTCCCCTTTTGTCTCCAGCTCTCTTCTGGCCCAGATGCCCAATGTATGTGGAGTGGGTAGAAAGAACTTAGGGTCAGGGACATGGGTAAGACTGCCTGTCCCCTTGCCCGCAGAATGGGACTGGCGCTACGTTCCTCTGTGAATTTGGGGTAGAAATGTTGAGCACTTCAAACCACTGCCATTTCCCCTTCCCAGAACACAGTTGGTAGCTTCCCTTGAGTTCTGCTCTAGGCAACACCGTTGGCCGCCTGTGTGGTCCTTTGACAACACATCCCCTTTGCTGGTGGTTCCACCGCCTATAAACACCAGCTAAAGCTATCACCAGCCTGGATCCTTCTAAGTCACAGTCAAAGGCCCCCGGTAGGCACTAAGTGAGTATGTTGCAAATGTGACTTCCTCCTGGTTCAACAGTTACCGCCGGAAGCTTCTAGCTATGAAGGCTGGCAAGGAGGCCCGGAAGACACCAATAGAAGCAACAACTTCAACAGCTGCTATTCCTGGGACCAACATGTATAACACTGATCGGTGAGTACGAGTCAAAAGGGAGCAAGAGGCTCTGTAAGATCGCTGGAGGCCACGGTTGCTTGACCCAACTTTCTCCCCAGAGCCAACCCCATGCTGGACCTCCCTACCAAGGATCTGGGACTGGAGTGCCTCTCTTCCGGTGACTTGGACAATGTCAGGTGATCGGCCTCTCTCACTACCAGACTAGTTGTTGGTAGCAGGAAACAAGTGGTGATGGGGATAACAGTCATGGTGACGGTGATGCTGGTGATAGTGGCAGCGATGGCGGTGGAATACTTATAATGTTGGTGGTGATAGTAATGTTGGTAATGCTCGTGATGGTAATGTCGGTGATGATGGTAACGATGGTGGCAAGGTCACAGATTGGGAAGGCTGGGTCAGTTTGCTAACCATCTAAGTTCTACCTCCTCTCCCATAGCCTCAATTCCCTCGACAAAAATGCTGTGGACTTGGACACAGACAGTAAGAAAATGAAGGTAGGATGGGGGATGAGTTGGTACCCGGGGCTTCTGACTTGAGACTTCTCTGAAGGGGTGGAATTCAGGATGAATGAGGCCCAATTCCTCTTCCTCCCTAATGTGCTCTATGGTGAACTACTTCTTGCTTTTGGCTCTCTGTTCTTTTCATCTGTAAATGGTAATCAAAACATCAACTCTGCAAGGCTGGCGTGGGGATTAAGTCAGAGCAAGTGTGTAGTATAAAGGTAGGGCACTTGCTGAGGCTCTGAGTTCAGTCTCCAAAATAAAAACAAACAAAACCACAAAACCCCAAACCAATGAAAAGGAGAAGGAAAAAGCCTACTTTTGAGCTCTCTACAAATGCTAGTAGGCGAGGAAGAAATCTGAACACGAACAAAGGCAGAGAAGGGAAGCTCAATAAATGACTAAATGGCAACACCACTCCTTGCTAACTCGGTTAGCTGGTTAGATGTTTAGTTGGTTAGTGGATGAGATCAAGCACTCACAGCTTGGAATCACCTGGGGAATTCTAAAACAACTGATGCTCAGGTCACATTCAGCTCCTGATCCCGATGGCCCAGGGTGGGACGGGGTCAGGCAGGGTGGGACAGGGTGGCACAGGGCAAGGATATGCCTCCAAAGCTCCCCACAGGCTCTTACTGTGTAGCCCAGACCAACCTCAAACTTTCCATCCTCCTGCTCCACGCGCTTGAGTGGTGGGATTACAGGTACATGTTGCCTTGACTGACTCTTCAGGCAATTCCCACGTCTAGGTAGAGTGGAACATCACTGGAACTGGACAGTGACGTCAGGGGGGCTCTCTAGAGGGGCTCCCCTCCTCTCACTGGAGTGGAAGGTCTTTGGGGCTCATTAGCTGCAACAGGTCATTTCTTGGAAGAAGTGGTGTTTGCATTATCACACCGCCCTTCCCCCACAGGCCCCAGCCTACCCGTGCTGCAGACCTTATCCTCCCTGGGGACTCCCCTCTCCTCCCCTCCCCCATCTCTTTTCTCCTCCCCCCTCCTTTCTTTTCGAGACAGGGTCTCTTTATGTAACCTTGGCTGTCCTGGAACTCAGTCTGTATGTAGACCAGGCTGGCCTCTGCCTCTGCCTCCTGAGTGCTGGGACTAAAGGTGTGCACCACCACCACTGGTGGAGGACTAATTTCTTGGATAGAGAGGTTCACCCAAAGCTTCTCTTGGGCTTGCGCAGGGCTCCAAATGTATGATGATGAGAAGTCTGGCATAAAGACTTCTAGATGGGTTCCCAAGAATGGGGATCTTGGGTAGCAAGGCAGTCAGCCCCTGTGTGTGGCCCATGTCCGTGTGAAGGTGGTTCGAGGCAAAAACTCTGGGGAACTTCTCTGATAGAACTGGGGTAAAAAAGTTCAAGGCCCTGAGGATGGCACTGTGGACTCTGCAGACCCCTTCAAGAGCGGAGCTAGGGTTCCTGACTGCCCCGGGGCTGGGAAAGACGAGCCAGGAGAGAGGGTGTGACTGGCTGAAGGACAGGCAGGGTTTTTGTGTTATTCTGCAATTCCTGAGTACTAGGACCTACAAGGGCCCTGTAAACACTATGTGCAAGGTGTGAGTAGCATAGCCCGGAGACCTCCCGATCCCCTTGTCAATCATATCAGGGACACAGAAGCTCAGGGAGTGCTGTCTGGCCTGGCAGCCTGCAGGGTAAATCAGCTCAGAAGTCAAGACTCCCGACTTAGGTGCCCGGTTACATTACCTAGTGCTACGCTGGTCAGTCGCTTTTGGCTCGGGGTCCGTAAGCGCAGACTGACTAACCCTCCCAAGGTCTTGCTTGCTCCAGTGTTTACCAGGGATGGTAACATCCCAGGCTGGAAACACCCTTGTAGTATCCAGGGAAAGGCAGGGGATGACTTGGGGCTCTGGCCTTGCGGAGGAAGAGGAATGGCTGCAGCAGAGTAGGTAGCTCAGGGGCTGCCCCCCCCACAGGAAGGCATATGTGTGACAAGTGTGGGCTGTGTGACATCACATGGGGAGGGCAAGAGGAAGGACAGCAGAGATGTGTGAGTGTCATGACAAGTATAGTGTAATCCTGGGTGACATTTATAAAAAAGATAGGAGATGGCAAATTCAAGCAGATTCTAGTATTTTACCATGGATATCCACAAGAATGGTTGACCAGTTCCTGCTCTGCCCCTTAGCTCTACCTCCCTTAACAGGGTGTGTATGGCTCTGTCAGGGAATTTACCCACCTTGCCCAACACAGCTTGCTCTGGGGTACGGGAGGCAGGAATGTGACCAAATTGCTCTTTGGCCTAAGACTGGGCAGAATGCTAGAACACTGCTCTCTTGGGGTTAGGCAAAGGCCAAAGGCCCACCCCACCTGGCCATAGCTGTTCCCGAGATATAACAACCAGACAGTGACCCCAATAGGAGTGAGGGCAAGAAACTCCAGCCTAGAAGCCATCTGGTAATGAGTGTGAAGGCCCAGGTTGTCCCAGGGGCTGGGGAGAGAACCCCATCTTCACCCTTCCCTCCTTGTCTCTCCAGAAGCCACTTCCACACGACTCTCCCGAACCGGACCCAGAGCCCCTGAGTGCAGTGCTCTCGGGAAGACATGTGGGCACAAATGGACCGCAGCAGAGGAACGTGTCATTTACCAACCCTGGCCTGGACACCACGGATCTGTGATGGAGCCCTGCATTCTCCAAGTGCAATATGTACTGCCTACCTTCCCCTAAATATAATATATAGCCTTTCAATCATAGACAAGAGTTGGGGAGAGGTTTTATTACCAATGTATACTGTGACAGTTAGTAGCCAAAAACTGAGGCTCGAGGGAAAGGGACCAGGGCGCTGAGTGGGTACAAGGAACTTGTCTGGGCTCACAGCATCGTTTGTGTGTGTAGGGAAGATGGGGATAAGAGGGGAACCTTTAAAAGACAACTGTGGGTGTCAAATGAGCTCTCCACCCTGTTCCCAGTACCCAAGACCGGCTGCCACCCAGGTGGCCAATGGCCTGACAGCTTCTGTGACTCTCCCTTCTCAGCTGAGCCCCAGGGAACTCCTAGCCTTTGGCTTCTATGGGAAATGTGCATAGTGACTGGGTAGGAGAGGAAATAGGACTAGGGCACTGGGCTAGGTGGGGAGAGACAGGAGAGGAGTAAGATTACCAACAGCATGCAAGAGACACCCTGGCCCTGAGGCCAGCACCATGTGGAGAGCCCTCATCGCTCAGAGACTCACTGCCCCCCGCCCCCCCCCCCAGCCTCCCATTCAGAGTCTGCCTTCCTGGTGGCCTCACACCGACCCTGGCACACCACACGGGAAGAACACCTAGAAATCTGCATGCAGTCTTTCCCAGTTCTGGGGACCTGGGCCCACCGGAGGCCCCGGAGCATCAGCCTGGCCATCTCAGGAGCCTGCCTCAGCCTTAGGGTGGAGGGATGCGAGCAGGCAGCTGTGCTCTCCCAGTCCTACCTAAGGGAGTGGAGCGAAAGGCTGTGAGGGCACCAGAGTGGGGTTGCCAGGGCTGGGTGTGTGGGCTCATGCCCACGGAGGGGCTGGGTAAGGGGTTTTCGTCGGTTGGGAAAGGAGGGACTGGAAAGGAGCCCCTAAAGGCGGCCCACTCCTCGGAGACCTGACGCACGCGGGGCTGGGGGTGGGGAGTAGCTCGATAACAAGAAGGGAGCCTGAGAAGGTTGGAAACCCGGGCCTACAAAAATGGGGACAGACCGATCACTCGGCTGTGGGACCCGCCCGCGAGCAGCATCGCGGCCGGCGCACACTCTGCAGCAGCGCGCGGAAGAGGCCGGGCGGACGCTTGGCGGCGCCGTCGGCAGGCGCGGTGCGCACGGATCCTGCACGGCCTGGGCCCGCGCGGGCGGCGGGCGGCGGCGCCGGCGCCCCTTGGCGGCCGTGCTCCTCTATCTGGCGCTCCAAATGCTTCTGGATGGCCATGCCCAGCACCTCCACTTCCATGGAGGCGCCGTACACCTCCCACGTCATGCCCTTCTCGTCCCAGCTCACTTCGCGCACCGGCTCGGCCGCCTCCTGGGGTGCCATGGCGGCCGCCAACACCGAGCCGGGCCGTACCCGCACCTCGGGGAAGACGGGGGGCGCGGCGGGCGGTGCCGCGGCCTGCGGAGTCATGGGCCCGGTGGCCACCGATCGCGTCTCGGCGGCTCCCAGCGACACCTGCAGGCCCGCGTCCCGGCGCGATGGCGGCGCGGGCGCGGGGCTGGGAGCGCGCGGGGCCGCCTGGAAGCTGAAGGCCGGGCCGGCCGCGCCGTCCTGCGGTGACATGGGGCTCACCGCCACCGAGACGCAGGCCTGGGCGCCGGCCTGAGTGCCCGCGTCCTCGCGGGGTGGCGGCGCTCCCGCGTCCCACGACGGCGCCTTGGTGAAGTTGTCGCGAGTCCGGGGCCCTGGCGGGGGCGCTGTACCCTCCGCGCGGGGGCTCTTCGGAGCCGCAGCTGCCGCGAGGTCTTTCTGGCTGGTGCTGGCACAGGGCTCTGGCTCTGCCCGGGCCCCGCTGCTCCTGGCGTCTCCCAGAGGCTGGGCTGAGCTGCAGGGTGTAGCATCTGATTGCCTGAAAGAGGACTCGGCCTTCCCCACCTTCTCCAGAGACGGAGGGGCAGTCTCTGCCCACGCTTGAGACTCTGCTTTTCTAGGAGACGGAGATGCCGAGTCAGCCTTCCCCGGCGACACAGGCTCCACAGACGCAGTGGGGTCGACTTTTCCTGAGGGATCCACCTTCCCAGACACCTGTGGCTGCTCCTTTTGCAAAGACGGCGCCTCCACCTTTCCCGGTGATGAGGCGCCTGGAAGCGGGGTTACCGGGGTTACCGCCTTAACCCCAGACTTGGGTTCAGCACTCTCTGAGGCACTGGTGGAATTCACAGGGTTCCTCTTTTCTGGTGCTTTGGCCTCTGGAATGCCTTCTGCTCTCTCGGAGGCCATGAGATCCACCTTCCCTGGGGACACCAAAGCTCGTTTTCCTAAAGTTGTGGAGCCCACTTCTTCAAAGGGAACAGTTTCTGCCTTTCCCTGGCTTGCAGAGCCTTCCCTGCTGAAAGGGAGGGGATCAGCCTTCTCTGAGGCTGTGGGTCTTGCCTTCTCCAAGGACTGTGGGTCTCCTTTCCCCTCCGTCACTGCTTCAGCTTTTGAGGCAGACATGGAACCCCGTGTCCCCAGAGACTTGGCATCTCCTGAACTGGAAGACACGGGGTCTGCCTTTCCTAAAGACTCGGGATTCCCTTTTTGAGATGTTTTTATGTTTCCCGTGACAGTTGTGTGATCCACCCTTCTAGAAGATCGTGGGTCCTCTCTTCCTGAGGATAGGGTTTCTGTCTTTACCAGCGACACACGTTCTGCCTGCCCAGAAGACAAGAGTTCTGGTTTCACTGGGGACACGAGCTCCACATTTCTTAAGGAGTCTGGGTCCACGCTGCTGGAAGGTCCTGTACTGCTCACAGACGTGGAATCTGTCTTTGCTGGTAACACACCTTCCGGCTGTCCTGCCATTCTCACAGACACAGGCCCTCCTTCTCCTGAGGAAGGACAGCCCTCTTTTGCTGAGGACAAAGTTTCTGTTTTTCCCACAGCTGCAGGATCCACCATCCCCAAGTGTACAGGATTCACCTTTTTGGTCCCAGGAGCCACTGTTTCTGAGGATACAAGTTCTGCCTTGCTTGATGACCCCGGCATTAGCTTTCCTGGGAATCCAGGATCTGTCTCTTTTGTGGATGCAGGGTCTGTCTTTTCTGGGGGTTCCATATCTTTTTCCCGCAAAGACACACGGTCTCCCTTTCCTGTAGATCCAGGGTTCTCTCTTCCAGAATACATGGGGGCCTCCTTTCTTGGATCCACTTTGCCTGAGGATACAGGCCCCCCCTTTCCTAAAGACCCAGGATTTCCCCCTTCTGTAGTTGCTGAATCCACCTTGCTGGAGCACATTGGATCTCCTCTTTCCAAAGACCCAGAATCCTCCTTCCCTGGAGCTGTACAATCCATCCTTCCAAGAGCCCCAGGCTCTCCACTTGCACAGGCTGCAGACCCTGCCTTTCCCATCAATAAGGACTCTTCCTTCCTCAAGGGCCCAGCCTCTTCCTTTCCCGTGGAAGTAAAATCTGCCTGCTTCAAGGAGTTGGACTCCATCTTTTCCAACAACACAGGATTTCTGTTGTCCGGGGCTGTAGGAGGAGCTTCTGCTGAGGACACAGACTCTGGCTTCCCTAACAAAGTCTTTTCAGAGGCTCCTGTGATCAAGGCTCCATGTCCTCCCAATGTCTCTGGGAGAGGGTTGCAGGTAGGAGAGGGGCAGGCTAAGCTCCCAGCAGGGCTCTCAGAGCAGGAGGCCCCTTCCCCACCACTGGGACTGTGGTGTCTGGAGTCCATGCCTGGGCTGTGGTCAAGGGTATGCCTTGGGGGTGCAGGGATGGCCTTTGGAGATGAGCAGCAGTCCCTCATGACCGGGCCCCCAGTGCCCAGGCTCCCATCCTGTGGGGAGCAGAGGGGTCTTGAGGGGCTGGAGGCCTTCTGAAGCTGCTGGAGCCAGGCTGGGTCTTCAGTACTGTGCATCTATCTTCACAGCCATGTTTGCCCTCAAGACAGCTGTCTGCATCTGAAACAAAGAGCACAGACACAGGCTTAGGAGGCAACAGCTCAGCCATGTCCGGGCTCCTCACCGGATTCTCTGTCTCTGTCTGGTCTCTCGTCAAGAAGACCTCAGCTAAAAACATAACCCGACCCTATCACCACGCCCAATAGTTATCTAAGAAGCCAGCACTCCCAGCACTTGGGATACTAAGGCAGGAGAATTTCTAGTTTGAGGCCAAGCTGGGCTACACAGAAAGAGCAAACCTCAACAACACAGACAGACTGACAGACAGACTGACCGTCCCTTCACAGCTTGCTTCCTTCTTTCCTTCCTTTCTTTTTTAACCCCCTCACCCTCCCAATTTGACCTTTGAACTTGACTCCTAGTTCCTCACCCCTTTGTCAGCCTCACGGCTTGCAACAGGCTTCCAAAACTGATGGATTTGTCTTCAAGGCCAGAGACTGAAAACTTCTGATGTCACTGGTCTAGATGGGCCATTGAAGGGAAGGGGGCGGGTTGCATACAAACACAGGGGCTAAGTGCAACTATGGCAAATTGTAGAGTGCATGGCTCTTCAAAGAGGAGCCACATGCTGTCCTGGAGAAATGAAACCTGGGGACTCTAGCTCTCCTAGTGTCTGAGGAAAATGACAAATCCAGACTTTGATGTAAAATATGCTAACTAATTCAAGACTTAAATAAAAACCCAAACACTATGTGGGCCAAAGAAAACATGTCTGTAGGCCACCAGTCTATGTCTGCGTAGGCCTGGGGAACTGTGAGCGGGCTTTCAAGGAAAGGGCATAGTCACGTGCTCTGAGGTGGTAGCAGTTGGGCTGAAAGGAAGCCGGAGCCCTTCACTCATCCTCATAGCCCCTCTATGCAGAGCACCCTGGGCAGCTACAGAGAGGTCTTGAGGGGCTGGAGGCCTTCTGTGGCTGTCTCTGTGGGAGACAGCACCCTGAAGGTCCTTCAGGCAGAAATGAGATCTGAAGAACCGGCGAAGCCAATTGGCCGTCATGAGTGGTGTGGGAGTGGTCTGCAGAGTACAGGGCAGGGTGGGGATTGCTGGGCAATGGCACTGGGCTGGAGATCTGAGGAGACAGGGAACTGTTTGGGATGAGACAAGTTTGGGATGCCTGGGGAGCATTTGGGAAGGGGTCTGGCAGGCAGATGGCCCTCAGAGGGACTGTCATTACTCATGCAGCTCCCAGAATGAGCAGAGGTGGCGAGTGTTTCTTACCTGCCCCCAGACCATCTCACCCATGAGCAGGCAGAATCTCTAGAGCAGCAGTTCTCAACCGGTGGGGGGCGATATCCTGTGTATCAGATATTTACATTACAATATCCTGTGTATCAGATATTTTCATTACGATTCATAACAGTAGCAAATTACAGTTGTGAAGTAGCAACAAAAATAACCGTATGTTGGGGGTCACTACAACATGAGAGACTGTATTAAAGGGTTGAGAACTCTTTAATGAAAGGGTTGAGAACCACTGCTCTAGAATCTCTCTTTGCTGTTGTATGCCATGAACCACCTATAGGCAAAATAGAATGAATCCGCCTTCCAAACATATCCAGAATCTGGCTTCCACCCTGGGCCTCATGCTTCACCACTCTGCACTAGATTGCACTTGCTTTTCCGTCCCCTATCCAGTTTATTCTTAAAAGCTGCCAGAGGAAGCTTAAACCCAAGCGGATCACATCTTTCTGCTAAGAGCCACTCAGCATCTCTCCAGCTGATGCGAACAAGCAGCAAATGCAGTGATTCGTGAGACCCTGCATGGCTGGTTCAGGTGTCTCCTCTTAGCCTCCCCACTCTGGGTGTGATTTTAACTTCAGTGGGCTACCTCATGGTTCCTCAAATACCCACCCAGTGCCCTCAGGGCCTTTGCACTGGCCATTTTCCTGCAGGTACCTGCTTCGTCTATTGTCTGAGGTCTTTCCTGGACCATCCTGTATAAAACAGCCATCTCCAATGCTGGCTGTCTATATACACACTTTATCTATATACACAGACAGTCTCATGGTGTAGACAGTGTGTGGCTGGCTTGGCTCTCTATGTAGGCCTCTAATTCTCAGAGACCTGCCTATCTTTCCTTTCTCAGTGCTGGGATTAAAGGCACCACACCCAGCTTTGTTTTACTGAAAATGTAAAATCTAGACTACTTGTTACTGTCCGATGTATTATAGATATGTGTTCATTGAATGCTAGCTCCATGGTGTGACATTTGTAATCCTGATGTTTGGTGACAAAAGCAGGAGCTTGAATTTGAGGTCACCCTGGGCTACATAGCAAGACCTGGTCTCAAAACAAATCATAACACATACACACGTGTGCATGAGTGTGGGCACACATGCGCGCGCGCGCGCACACACACACACACACACACACACACACACACACACACACACACACACACTTCTAAGCAGTGGGGACTTTATTCTCATCCACGCGGCAGAGTCAAGAACAACTGGCATGCAGACAGGAAGTAAATTCCCAGTACATATTAGTTATGTGAAAGACAGAATGATCCTCCTAACAGCCAGTGATGCTGCTCCTAGACCCAGACTCTCCTTATCCTTGTTGGGAAATCAAGTCGGTCAGGAAGGGTATTTGCCAAGCTCTACATATGTTTACAAGACACACAGTGTTTAGGCCAGCAGTCTCCTTCCAGGGATGTTCGTGCAGACACAGAATGGTACATCAGGGTACATGAGAGCACCTGGTGGTGAGGACAGCAGTGTTGAGGGAATCACGTGAGGCGTCTGCATGGGCCTCTGCACAGTCACTGGGACCCATAGAGTGATGAGGGGAGATGCCCAAGGTAGCCTGAGCGAGCAAAGGCATGTCAGGACAGGCACAGCATGGCCGCCAGGGTTCTGTGAGTGTGGCCAGGGAGAGACATGTTCATGTCCCTGGGGTTATTTATAGGCAGGAAATTCCAAGATAAAATCTCATGAAACTTTCATTGTGATGGCCTCTTTGAAGTAAGAGCTGGGCTGTTGTTTTTCCTCTTGTGTGCTCTCTGTGGTGTCTGAATTTGGGTTGCAGGTGAACACAGCACGTGTGCTGTAACCGTGGATGTGCGTTCCGAGAAACGTGTACTGTAGTAACCTTGTGGTTGCTTGAATATCATGACACGTGCTTAGTACAATCCTAAACAGTATGGGTCAGCAACTCCTGTGGCTTCTGCAAACTTGAAATGCTACTGGTGATACAGCATACTGTCTATAATTAATTAAAAATACTTATTTTAGGCTGGAGAGATGGCTCTGTGGTTAAGAGCACTGGCTGCTCTTCCAAAGGATCCATGTTCAATTTGCAGCTAACATGACAGCTAACAACTGTCTATAACTCCAAAACCTTGACATCCTCACACAGACATACCTGCCGGCAAAGCACCCCAATGCAAATAAAATAAAAATTAATAAAACATAATTATTTTAAAATACATGCAGGTTGTTTGTCTGCATATGTACATATGTGCAGAAGCCAGAGGCTGGAATTACAGGTGATGCTGGGAACTGAGTAGAGATCCTTTGCAAGAGCAGTAAGTGTTCCAAAGCAATGACTCATTTCTCCAGCCTTATATCAACTTAAAAAAATAAACAAGAAGGAGTTCACTCTAAATAACAATAAAGAGCTGTGAATGTGGCTCAGTGGTAGAGTGATTGCCTTCCGTGTTGCAGGACCCTGGATTCCATCCCCCCCACTACAAGAAAACAACAAAACAACAGCTTCATACTGTAGATCCCCTAAACCAGTGACCCAGCCATTTATTATCACTGTCAGGTGTCATTGCAGTGTATCACACACTTTCTGTGTCTCTAGGACTGGCAACACCGCAGGTTGCTTAATACTAGCACACCACAAACAGCTGAGGGGAACCTTGTGCTGAACTTTAGGAGGTGGCGGGAGCTCTCACTCTATTTTGCATGGCTGTTCCTTATTGAAAAACAGGAACTCTTAGGAAACCTTTACTGAGAGGCAGGCAGATCTCTGTGAGTTCGAGACCAGCCTGGTCTAAAAGAGCTAGTTCCAGGACAGCCTCCAAAGCCACAGAGAAACCCTGTCTCAAAAAACCAACCAACCAACCAACCAACCAACAAACCAACAAACAAACAAACAAAAAAACAAAAACAAAAACAAAAAAACCCAAAAAACTTTACTGGTTCTGTGGATGGGTGGGCATCTCCTTACTGCACATCTAAGCCCTATATACTCACTGCCTTTCCTTGTTGGTTTTTATCTTTCATTACTTACTCTCACACCCAAGCACATGCACACATATACACGCACACTGCTTACTGCTTTGTGCACAGCCATGGCTTGGCGTTCCCTCCCCTCTCAGCCTCCACACACCCTCTGCTGTAGGAATCTTCCCATTCTAGACAGACTGTGTCTTATTTAAAGTTTTAGTTTTCAGCTTAAATGTTTCCTCCTCCAGGAAGCCTTCTTTGCCTACCAGCCTCCGTTGGACTTTCTGATCTGATGGGTCTCAGCTGGATTCCCTAAATCTCAAGTCCAAGGCTTGGGGTGACAGAGGTCATCACAAGGATGGACACACAGGAGGTCAGTCTTGCTGGGGACTATAGGGCCCTTGGTGTTGGACAGCTGGACTGGGTGCCTTTTGGATTTATGGGGCGTGTGCAAGAGTCAAGTGGGACAGGGGTCTGGCTGAATTCTTGGATCTAGCTTTCATCAGCATGCAAATGAGGGTGTGGATGGACTCCAGTGTGCAGGAATGGGCCTGCCTTCATTTACTTTGCCCACTGATGGTGATATTGGAATAGAGCAAGGGAGATGACTGAAGTCCCCAAAACCCTCAAGTGAGGGAGACTGGAAGGAGTCATGGTGGGGACTGTGACAAAAATAGAGACTACTGGGCCTTAGAAAGAGGTAGCAGCACCCATTTCCAGTCACTGTGGCAAATGAGAATGCACCTACTAATGCAACCCTTACCAGACACCTGTGCAAATTCCATGTGTTGGGCATAAGCAATGTAGAACATGTGGTCCCTGGCCTCCAGATGTGGGTACGATTGAGACGAGGGTAATAAGCTAGTAGTAAATACATGATGTCATTTCTGATACGAGATGCTGTGAGGACAAAGGCTTGGGCAGCTGGTCTGGACACGTGGTCCAGAAAGGCCCCTCTGAGGAGGTTAGCATCTGAGCCAGTCATGAAAAGGCCAGTAAGCCTACAGTAGAGCTGGAATCAGAGAGGGAGGGCATGAGAGGGAGAGGCGGTGGCGGCCAACCATGAGCCTTGCGCCAGTGGTGAGGACTTGTCCTAAGGGTACTGAGCAAACACTGGTGTGTTTCAAACAGGAAGTGTGTGTGTGACTGTCCTGGGGCCAGGCCCTTAATTCACTGAGCAAAGTCACACATCTGGATTTTTTTTTTTATATTTTAAATATTGGCTGTTTTTTTGTTTGTTTGTTTTGCATACCACGAAGGCCAAACAAAACAATTGTACAGGTTGATTTTGTGACCTATGTTGTCCTTGGGGCTGTGGAAAGGGATGTTATAACTCTTAGTGTCTGGGCAGATGGGCAGTGATAACCACAATCTGTTTGCTACGCTTCCCTGTTTCCTCCTGTGAAACATAGGAATTTGACAATCACCCAGCAATTACACATGGAGGGAAGTACAGCCCGCAAAGGTCAGAAAAGGCTAAGGAGGGGTGCCCTAGCTCCCACTACCCTTTATTCCACACTGGCTCCTGGGCAGAAGGAGCAGACAGCTCACCACTCAGCAGCTCCCTTCTCACTAACTCCGCCCCAAAGCAACTCATTGCAGCCCTCCCCACCAAGCCTGTTGCGAGAATTAGAGAAGATGAGGGGTGTGCATGGTTCTGCTCACATTAGGGCCAGGCTGTGTACATGGAAAGCCTGTTTTTATCTACTCAGCCTGTCAGAGCCCAGCTGTGCTCCAGGAGGGGGTGGGGGGTGGGAGGTGGGGGGCTGAGTCTGAAATGGTTGCAACAGAAACAAAATTCAGCAAAATCTGGCTTTAAGAGATTCATTCTCATTTGGCTCAGAATGCTAACAAATTATTTTTTTAAATGTGTGTGTGTGTGTGTTTGTGTGGTTGTGTGTTTGTGTGTGTGGTAGTGTGTGTGTGGTTGTGTATGTATGTGTGGTTGTGTATGTGTGTGTGGTTGTGTGTGTGCGTGTGTATGTGGTTGTGTGTATGTATCAAAGGTCAACCTTGGCTTGTGTTCATCAGAAGCTGTCCACTTTGATTTTGGGGATGTGATCTCTCACTGGAATTTGGGGCTCACCCATTAGGCTAGGCTGGCTGGCCAGTGAGGCCCAGGGACATCCCTGCCTCTGGCTCTCCAGGGCTTTTTTTTTTTTTTTTTTTTTTTTTGTGGGTAGAGGAATCATGCCTCTCTAGCCCCTTAAGTCAATTTTAAATAAAGGAGCAAAGTGGCCAACATCGAAACATTGAAAGAGTTCATGCGGCGATCAGATGTCCAGGTTATTCTGGTAAACTAAAATTTGGCAAGCTGAGTGTGTTTCCTGCAGAGCAGCAGCCAGCTGGAGCTGGCCTGAGGGAGGCAAGCAGCCACAACCCCAACCCTCCCTATGATGTCCTGGACACTAAGGCTAACTGTACACTGCCATTCATCACTGAGTTTGGATTTTTTTTCTTATCATCAGATCCTCATGTATTCTACCTTCCTGCCTGTAGCGTCTAAGTTTTGACACTTTACTCACATGCCAGTAAAAGCAGGGAGTGAGCTTACAGAGTTCATACACCTGTCAGGCAGGTGACATCCTCCTGTTTTCCAAGAAGGAAGTGGAAAGTCCAACAGGCAGGCAAGGCTGGATGTCTCCATGCCCTTCTGCAAAGCCTTTCAGGAAGAGGCTGGCATCCCAGCTCCCAGACCCAGCTTCTCAGCATCTGAGATGGGATTGGGCCCAGTACAGGGGACAGACAGCTTGGCTGCATGTGGGTCGAACCCCAATGCAGTCACTAACCCGTTCTGTGACTTTGTGTGGGGTTTCCCACTCTGGGGGCCTTAGTCTCCCAGTCCAATGTCCCAGAGACAAATTTCAAAAGGTCTGCTGCTCACAGATCTGGGAGATCCTTCCTGGCTTGAGAGGAAGTCTCAGTAGCTTCCAGCCACTCCTCTAAGGCAGCCTAGGCATCCTCTCCCTCCGCCTTACCACTAGTAAACACCTCCATTACTATCGCACTGCAGCTCAGCTCTGGACCCAGCACCCTCAGGCTCATTCTGTCATTAGACTCCACAACAATTCCACAATGGGGCCCTTATCATTTCTCACCATTGATGAGAACAGTGAAGTCTGAAGGGAGGAAGACTGGGGTTCAAATTTGATGCGTCTGAGTTCAAAGCCTGAATTCTTCCCAGTCAACATCCAGACACTAATGCCAGGCTCTTTTCTTTCTCTTTGTGTGTATGTGTGAATGTGGGCATTCTCATGCAGATGTGGAAGTCAGAGGATGACCTCCAGTGCCAGTCCAATGTCTTCTTGTTGTACACCTTCAGTTCCTAGGGATTCTCCTTTCTCCCATCTCACAGTTGGAGCCCTGGGATTACAGGGACACATACTACTGGGAGTACCTTTAGATGGGTTTTAGAGATCTGAACTCAAGCGCAAACACTGGCTCTCAAAGGCCCTTTCTTTTTGGCCCAGGCCAAAGATCCTTCAAATCCTATGGGCCTCACAGGCAATAGTACCAGTGAGCATGCATAGAGGAAGCCAGTGTCCCTGTATCTACACAGTGCCTTCTGGAACATGCACACCTTATGGGCACATGGCTGCATAAGGAGGTGTGTGTGGTTCAGTAGAGATAGTGGGCTGAAATGACCATGCAAGTGAATGGGCCACATCTGGTATGCAAATGGGTAAGTGACTGTTTAGGGTGGACTGCGCCAGCTCAGGCCAGCGGGGCCCAGGACCTGGCTCCTGTGTCCCAGTTAAGAGAGCTTGGTGTGCATTTATGCCTTGTGGGGGCCGCTGGGACCCTGTGCATGTGTGCATCTGTCATTACATGGCTTTACCGTTTCACCTTGGGAGAGCTAGCCTGAGTGTGTGCACAGGCCCTTGTGTTTGGCTCACTGGCAAGACAATCCTGTGAATGCAGATACATGGCTAGCTTGGCTTTTCTCTTCCCTCTAGGATTTCTTCCCAGTTTGGAGTCATCTCTACACCCCCAGTCAGGGCCAGAGCTGCCAGGCACCTGCAAGCATCTCCTGCTATGGTAACAAGACTGACAAAGGCTTGTGTATGCCTGGGAGTGCCACTGAAAATCCCAGCCTTCTGCCACTTGTTCTAGTACCCTCACAGCAACAAGCCCCTCCCCTCCCCGCTGCCTGCCACCACAGGTAAAGGACTCTATGATAACAAAATACCTTCTTTGAGAAACATTCCCCAAACCATCTGTCCATTTTTTCCATCCACCAATCCATAAAAGGGCAAGAATGGACGTTCAAGGGTGTGCAGACTTGTGCTAGTGTGGGTTGAAGAAGAGCGGCAAGCTAAGAGACAAAGCAGGTATGTGCAAAAGGGTCATAGCCTACTCCAGGGTGTAGGGTACACTAGGGGCATAAGCACAAGCTGGCCAGGGCAGGGCGGCTGGGTGTGCTAAGAGTAATGCTCACTAGATTCAGGATGGATGCTGTGAGTGAGCAGCCCCCCCTGGGTGCCCTGGGTGGGTGTACAGGTGGCCGGATGTGAGTGACTGACGGAGTGACCAAGGGCCGTGTGTGTGTGTGTGTGTGTGTGTGTGTGTGTGTGTGCCTGTGGCCTCGTCCAAAATGAGGCTCCCAGGCATGATCGCGGTGTGTGACCACGTCCAGGAGTGTGTGCCACACTGGGTGTGTGACGAGTGTGATGAATCAATGAGATCAGCCCCTCCCCCCGGTGGCGGGACTCGTCCCCTCCTGCATCGCGGTGCGGAACAAAGCGGCGGGCAGCGGGACTGGACGCGGGGCGGCTTGCCCACACCACAGGCCGGGGCCGTGCACCGGGGCCCCGCCCCACCGCGTCCCGCCCCGCCGCCCCCGCCCCTCAGCCCGAGCCCGAGCCCGGCGCGGTCCAGGACCCTGGACAGCGACCCCAGCCCGCGCGCCCAGCGGCCCCACGCGCGCCCGCCGCTTACCTGCGCCCGCTCCTCGTAGCTCCGGTTCGCGCCGCGCAGACCACCCCGGTGCTCCCGGCCGCGCTGGCGGGCGGACCCGACTCCGCGCTGTCCCCTGTCGGCTGGGCGCCCCGCCCCGGGCATGCGCGCTGGGCGCACTGGAGAGCCGGGAGGGGGCGCCGCGGGGGCGCGCGAGGGCCGGCAGACGCCGCCCGGGCCCGGGGGCCCCGCGCCCTCCCGCTGCTCAGCTGGGAGCACCGCGGGCTCACGGGCGGCGGAGACACCAGAACCCGGGTCGTCCCGATCTGCCAGCTGTCTAGGCTTCCTCTTTGGCCACACTTCCGGCCTCTGCTCCCCCCATCCGCCCCTCCCCCGGCCCTTTGTCTAGCTGCTGCCCACGCTCTGGCGAGTGGCCGCCCTGGGCTGGGAGGCTCCCCGCATCCTCCCGGCAGCATCCTCCCCGACAGGGAGTCCGCCCACCTTCTGGTCAGGGTAAGCCCGGTCCTCCTCTGGATACCCTCCAACAATTCATCTCACCTCTTTGAGCATCAGTTTCTAGGTCTGTAGAATGGGACTCGCATTGAATCTGCTCAGAGAAGTCGTAGAAAAGAGTCTGGTGTTGATGTCCAGGGCTGCCACTTGAGTCAACTGCGGAAGGTGTGAGGATTCACTGCCCAGTTCCCTCTACATTTGAGGGGAGGAGTGGGACCTTGCACCTCTCAGATGAGAATTCTGTCTTGGAAGTGATAAGAGATCCTTGTGCCTCAACTGTGAAAGTCACCTGCTAAAATAATAAATGAAGGCAAATGAAACTCTTAGTCAGGGATTTGATTTATAGATGTTTCATGGGCAGTCACTCAGGAGCGAGGGAATATTCTATCCACATTTTCCAAACACTGTTCCTTAGTAGTCGAATTGGGATTGCAAACTTATACAGGTCACGTCTTGCAGATCCACACTTAGGCTTATGTCTTAGGAACCACTACTCATCTAATCACCTTAACTTAAAATAATAAGAAAATCTAGATGGCAAGGGAGGATTTAAAACCCACAGGAAAACCTAGGGGTCAGGATACTCCCAGGTATATCTGGTCACTAACCCTGACTTCTGAGCCAGCCTTGGCTACAAAGTGAATGCTAGATAAGCCAAGGCAAGATTTATCTAGTAAAGCAGCGAGACTCTTATTTCCAAAAATCTCAAAACAGTGAAATTCATGGTACAGACCTCTTCGTTTGGAATACGAGCTCAGGATAGTTTTCAGGACCACGGACAGCGCCCAGAGTCGCTCTCTCCTATCACTGGTGCTGAAAATGGTTTTGCGACTGCCCAAGAGGGTACTTAATCAGCTTCAGAATTTACAAACCCTCTTCCAACTCATCGTTTCATCCCTCACAGGCCATTACTTCAAGGTGAGAATTATTCGCTCTGTGACACAGAGGAAGCAACCGAGGCTTCGGAGGTCCACGAGACACCAAAAGTGGCAAGAACCAGCTTTGATTGACAACATTCTCTCCATAGACAGAGTAATGCTGGAGCAGAACCAAGTGATGGTGGCAGTGTTTCAGGCGAGGACTAGTGATAAATGGATCTGGAAGTCCTTGCTGGGATGGGTAGGCGACTTCTACTTACTTGCGGGGAATGGACTGGCCTTAGCCACGAGGTGAATGCTGAGAGAGGCCCCTGCTGGTCCTCTGAGGGAGGACCTTGCAGATGGAGGACACATACTGTGTGAGTGTTGGGGGAAGGAGGTGCTTGTGGGATGACCACCCTAAGACCACCCTAAGTCCAGAGTTGAGCTCTAAAGCTACCACAGCTGGAGGTCATGGGAGTGGGGATGGAGTCAGCATATGACGGAACATGCAAACACGAGAACCCTAGCACCTCCCAAGGAACACCAGGCTGATGCAAAAATCAGTGAGCAAGGAGACATCTTTCGCAGGAAGTCTGGACCCTGAGAGAGAGAAGAGGCGGCACGCATCTGTAATGCCAGTACTCGGGTTGGAAGAGGGGACCGGGAGTTCATGGCCAGCTTGGGCTCCATAAGATCCTGTCATTAGAAGAAAAAAAAAAAAAGGAAAAAAGAACGGACGAAAATGAACGTGGCAGCTTCCACAAGAGGAGATGTTGAGACAGGAGGGGCCCAGAGCAGGAGGAAAGGGAAAGAGGCCAGCAAGGGGGCAGGAGTCTGGAGGGGGGAGTGAGATGCAGATCCTGGGTGTCTCTGAGAGCCTGAGGTGCCTATGAAAGGCACGTGGCTCATTTGTGAGGTGCCAGGACACCAGCAGGGAAGTGGGAAGGTGACCCAGGAAGGGGAAGCAGTCAATAGGAGATTACTAAGGCAGCAGCCACAGTGGACGAGTGGCACTTAGATCTGCAGTGAGGTCCGAGAGAGTGGAGCAAGTGTATACTGCAGAATTCCTCTGGCCAAGGGCGAGGGACCTGGGGTGTGCATATGACAACATTTGGCAGATGTTGCTGAGGGGCTGTGCTGTGGTTTCTTCTCAGGCATCCTATGCAAAATGTTTCCAGCAGTCTGAGTATTTCCCTTTGATAAAGACTCGGGTAGTGGATTGCTGAGAGTCCTCTTGGTGGGCACATCCGAAGGCTAAGGTCAGAACTCTGGCTGTGTCTGCTATGAGGTCATGGTCAAGGCCTCTTTCCCTTGCTGTGCCTTATGACTGCTTTTGTTCCAAAGGAACTTGTTCATAAAACTGTATTTTATTCCTCACTGTTTTGAGGGGAGAAAACTGTGTTTTAAAGTTTTTGGGCAATGAAACACTTGCTAGAGCAGACGAGGAACAGAAGACAGGCAAGAAAGCAGCGCCAGTGTGCTCCGTGTTGGCACTGCCAGTTGCTAGCTTTGAGGTCTCTCCATATGAGTGCCACCATAGGTGACACTAGGGTTCTGGAGGTCTGCAAGTGCGCAGCAGAGCACGGCTTTTGTGGAGAGCACCACTGTCAAGCCTCACACAGAAGTCCTTTCTCGTCGTGGTGCCCCCATTTTCCCTAGGGGATTATTCTGGACCCACCTATGGAGTAGGTAGGGACCCAGATCTGGCCAACCACTATCCAGTAATTGATTCTGGGGATAAGGTGATGTAGGGGACCAAATCCAGGGCAAGTGACTCTCTTACTTTTCTGTAATTTTAGGTGTTGCTATACTGATGACGTGCCTACTTGGAGCTTTCTGGAGAGTTATATGTGTCCCTTTATGGAGACTCTGCCAAGGCCTAGAACTTGGGCTTACCTTATAGTAAGCATACATGGTCACCCACACCCATGTGGTATGTGCGTCTGTGCATGCACACATGTGCTTGTGCCTCAGGTTGGACTACCGCTGGGGAGTCATACACGTTTGTATGCACCAGAAGATAAACAAGAGCCTGCAGCTCCTTGGCGGATGCCCAGGCTGGGGGTGGAATAAACAATCCCAGTGACTTTTTGAAAAGAGAGCGTGTGTAGCAACAGCACCATGGAGACAAGCAGACTGTATCAGAGCAGAGACAGCAGCCAGCCCCCAATGCCACTCTGGGTGCCTGCATGCACATGCTCACAAGCGACATAACGTGTGTCTCATGTTTCCCTCCCTCTCTGTCATGTCCATATCATGTTCATGTCTATTTCAAACACGACCGTGTTTCACACCCAGGACTGTCCACTTCTGGGTTCTAGCCAGATAACCTGATTCCAGTTTTGCTTGACGATAAAGGCTTTGGAAAAGCTTTGAGATGATCAATTACTAACATCCATAGCTCCTGCCCTTTGCCTGTACACTGGTTCTGATCTAGGTTGAATTTTGGCTTTTAGCAAATCAAAACCTCCAGGGATTTCGTGCATGTGTGCATGCGTGCGTGCGTGCATGTGTGTGTGTGAGTGTGTGTGTGTGGTATGTGTATGTGTGTGGTGTGTATCTGTGGTATGTGGTGTGTGTGTGTGGTATATGTATGTGTGTGGTGTATATGTGTGAGGTGTGTGTGTGTATGTGTTCATGTGCTTCAGGGAGACATGTGCAGCTCATGTTCACATGCTCATCAAGAAGCACCCAGACTGCACACTCCTTCGGGCTCCATGCCTCTCCTGCACACTGAGCCCCACCCCAGGTGATGATGGTAATGCCCCTAAATTTTCTACAGTTGTCACCTCATCTTATTTAATTCTTAGGGGAAGCCAGCTGAGGTAGGTAATTATTAGTTCACTAGGGCCACACAGAATAGTAAAAGCCAGGGCTTGTAGTGTGGTCATACGACATGCAGCACCCCATGTATGTGCACTCCCCCCAGTTAGCCCAGATAACTAACACCTGACAAGGCCTTCCCACATATACTGCCCTCACCATGCCGCCCCAAGACTCACAAGAGTGGGTGCAGCTAACAGGGGATGGCGGTACAGGCACGCCATCCCAGCTATTCAGGAGCCATGAGGATTGAGAGCACGAGGGTAGCCTGGATTATAATGAGTTCTAGACTAGCCTGGGCAATTGAGCAAGAACCTGGCTGTCCAGAAGTGGACATAAACACTGACTGTGGGTGCAGCGCTGCAGTAGGATACTTGCCTTGCATACTGGGTAAAAGAGAGCTCACAATCTGATGCCCACACAGACCCCTTCCCTACCCTCCTGTAATGCCCCACCCCTAGCAGCTGAAGGCTGGGGTGGCCCAGGATTTGGATGGGTGACTCAGGCTGAATCATGGCCCAGCTGCTTCTTGACAGCCCCTCCTCCTTCTGCCCAGAGAGCCTATTTGGAGGGCAGGGGTGGGCCTTGGTGTTTTGGGGAAGAATAGGGAGGTGGGGGGACAGGAGGGGACAGTATTTAAGGGGAAGACACAATACAAAAGGGCTTCCTTATTCCACCAGGAATGAGGACCTTTTTGCTTGGAAATGGGCCAGGAGCTCCCTGTCTAATCCCTGAGCTCATTTTGGCTCCTTTTTCCTCTACCTCATAGCCCTAATAAAATAACACTGACAACATCCACTATTCTAATTGATTACTCCAGTTAACTGGTCTCACTCTGCATTTCATAAAGTACCTTTTCATCTGGGGGTGGAAATGAACACCCTCACTTTGGAGTTGAGTAAACCAAAGTTCTGGGAGCTTCTATGAGCTGGCCAATATCACACAGTTGGTGAGATGATACACGCAGGGCAAAAGCTCAGGCCTGCTTGGTCCAGCTTGCGGAGGTGAACACTGAGCAGCGGAACAGAGGACCTGGTGGGTGGGGCATTAAGGTGATGCTAGCCAAAGGTGTGTGTGGGCATGACGGGCATCAAAAGGGCATTGTGGTGTAGCATCGTTGGGCCAGGGCTAGGGTAGTGAGAAACATGGCTCGTAGAGAATGGTACATGGAAGATTACTAGGACTTTTTACTTCCCTGTAATTAATAGATTATGGAATTGTCTGTGCCTTCAAATCTTTCATTGTCATAGATCAATATTCATAGACTGACAAATCACTGAAGAATGCTTTGGTTTGGAGACTTTACTCCTGGAAACCCCAGTTTTCTTATATGAAAAAAAAAAAAAAAAAAAAAAAAAACGAGCCCCTGTCTCTGTGAAGGTAAACTATTAAGAGACTCAAGGGAAACAACCCTCTTCCCTTTCAAAGCTGTCAAGGGCTCCACAGAAGCCTGCTACTGCTTTTCACACTTTGTTTTGCCATTTAGCAAACATCTATGGGTGCTGGACAGAGGGCAGAATGGGCTTTCGGAAGCCTGGGGGCAGTGCTGAACAGGAGGTGGGTAACATCTCTGCCTTCCCCCTGCCTGGGCTCTGTCTGGCCTTCCCCCACCCTCAGCCCAGGAGCCTGTTTCTAGGCAACCAGATGGATGCAGAGATGGTTAGGAGGGGAGAGAGCTATAAATAGGGAAGAGAGAAAACAAAAATAAAGTTCCAGAGAAATCCCTGAAGCCACATTACTGGAGCTGGGGGTGGGGAGGCAGACAAATGGCAGAGAAGGACATGGGGACAGCCCCTAACCCTGCATTAGGGGAACAAGGCAGTTTCCCAGCTAGCTGCTCAGCGGGAGTCTCCAGTGTGCCCACATGGACGAGGGTGGTGAGGCATGGAGAGGAAATGGCTTCAGAGCTATAGGAAATCTCAGAAGAGAACGCGCTTCATCTCCACAAAGTGGAGTTGAGAGCAGATGCTTAGGAGCAAAGGATGCAGGCACAGGAAGAGAAAGCCAAGATCAGCCCGGGTGAGGGCAGCCACTCCAGGGGATCTCGGTAGGCCTGGCAGGCCTTAGCCTTCCTGACTGCACACACAGGTGGACCTATCTGTAACATTCACGCTCTCCAGACAGCCTCCCAGCATCCTCTCCGTTCAGGTATCAGCCCCATCTCACCTCAGAGGAGCTTGACCTGGCCAACTTATTTTTAAATTTTATGACTTTTTTTTTAACATGTATTCATTTTAGGGGTTGGGAAGCTCATTCATGGAGGCCAGAGAACAGTTTTCTGTTTCTACCATGTGAGTTCCAGGGATCAGACTCAGCTCATTAATCGTGGCAGTAAGCACCTTCACCTGCTGAGCCAGCTCACTGCTCGAGGGCTGCCTTTTAATGTTGCTCATTGCCCATTCCCTTCAGACTCCCTATCACATCCTTTTGCTTCTCTCAAAGCTTGAGAAGGTTGGGATCTTGCTATGTAGCACAGGCTAGCCCCAACCTTATGATCCTCCTGATTCAATTCCACATTTGGCCTTGTTGGTCACTGTGATTCCTGAGCTTTGAGCCATTAGAAAATCAGGGTTTACCAAAAGCCCTTGAGTGTAAGACCATTTGAGCTGTCAGAACATCAGGGTTTCCTGAAAGCCCTCACAGGTAAGACCGGACCATGGTGCACACAACACATATAGACAACACCACAAACATACATGAGCACAGATGCAAGCACAGCATATATGTACATCCACATCACTGGCCCAATCATCACACACATAGCAGCATGTATGTAGTGCCATTATCCTCTCCATGACACGGCACAAATGTCTGTCCACATTTGCCTGTTATCCATATTTCTTCATTGTCTCTCTTCAAAGCCAGAGAATACAGGTTTTTAAAATTCCAAAGATCTTGGCCTTGGGAGTCAGTAATAGGGCTCAGTCTGGCTTTTGACATTTTTCAGCAACCAGCCCTGGGCAGGTAGCATTGCCTGACTAGCTCCTATTCCCTCCTTTGTAGGCTGAGGTTGTAGCAATGAAGTGCCTGAGAGGGATGTTAAGTGAAATTAGTGAAGGTAAGTATCACATGCTTGGGATACACTGGGAGCTTGGGAAATGGCTCAGACCCCATGAGCTGGACACATGCACACCCGCACACACACACTCATCAGACATGTGTTGGCACCTTCTGCTTCTGGATTTGTGCCTGGAATGCATTTAAGGTGACCCTGGCAGGTGAGAATGTTGATATCTGAGCAGAATCATTCTCAGTGGGGCCAGGTGTAGGATTTGGCACTTGGGAAGGAGGAAATAAATCTCTTCACAGGCCAGATGGTAAACCTGGTTTTGACATCTAAAAATGGGGATCCAGGGCTGAAGATAACAGATAGAGCCAATAAATAAATAAAGGGTTCAGGTGCTGGTTTACAGATAACAGAACACACACACACACACACACACACACACACCGCCTGCAGACTGGGTGTAATAAAATCAGGACAGACAGGGCTGGAAAAAGTGTACATAAATCAAAGATATTCAAACTTAGAAAAATATAGCGGCGTGCTGGTAAATTAACCTTATCTAGAGGCCAAAATTCAGCCAGAGGGCCATGCATTTGTAGTGTTTAGAACAATGGTTCTCAACTTGTAGGTCGCGACCTATTTGACAAACTTCTATCTCCAAAAGTAGTTACATTACGACTCATGACAGTTGCAAAATTACAGTTAAGAGGTAGCAACGAAGATAATTTTATGGTGGGGGGGGTCACCACAACACGGGGAACTGTGTTAAAGAGTCGCAGCACTTCCAAGGTTGAGAACCACTGTTCTAGAAGACAGCAGGTTGTAAGTAGTGTACAGGAGCGAAAGGGTTTCCAGCTCCTAACACTCTCACTCATCCAAGCCCAGCGGTTTGTTTTACACGGTCATCTGTTAGCAGCTTTCTGCTTCGAGACGCGAAGGCCCAGGTGACCAGACAACACTGGTCTCCCACAGGGCTAATTGCCTTCTCAGGCTTGCCATCTCCTCTCCCTCCAATGACTCTCGGGAAAGTGGAAAGGGGCTGACTGAATAGAGCAAGCTGCTGCCAGCTACGTAGCTGGAGGTCAAGACGAGGTTCAGGGGGCTTCTCTGCGGTAAATCAGGTGTTTGCCTGCCATAAGCAGACAGGACCAGGGTTCTTCTGCAAATGGGAACACCGCACAGATGGGGGGCGGAGCCAGCCAGGCGCTCTGTGCCAATAAAGGCGGCGTGGCTGCAAAGGCGGAGCCTCCTCGCAATGTGGGTCTTTTCGAGGTTCCCTTTCTACTTTGAGTCGACGGGGGCCCCCTAGTGCTGATCCTGGTTTGTTCCAGGTGTCTGGCTGGCTTCCCAGTTTCCTGCAGATCCTCCCCTACACCCGCTGAAATCTCAAACTTTCAGTGGGGCTTCTGGGAGGGGAGAATACCGCCTGCCGGGCGCTGTGCCCTCTCCTGGGCCAATGACACCAACGGTTTTGTTTGTGTTGGGCAGGTGTGTGTAGATGTGTGTGTACAGGACGGGAGTGGGAGGGGCCTGCTAAGTTAGCGTCTTTTTGCGGCGCAGCTGCAGCCGCGACAGAGAGCGCAGGTGTGCACGTGCGCTCTGGCCCTGGTGCTGACGCTCGGGCTTGCGCGTAGAGACTGGCGTGCGTGCACGCTCGTGTATGCGTATTCACGATACCGGTGCGGTCCTTTGGCTTCTCTTGGCACTGAACCCCTTCTCCTGCCAGGAGGTGGCGCCCAATGCTAACTTCGTGCCTCCCAGTCAACTTCGGTCCCAGTGGGAGCCATCACCCTCTGGGTCGTGAGCTGACTTGGAGTAGGAGATGGATAAGCTGAGGTCCCAGGTAGCCAGCGATGTACTGAGTGTTCCAGAGCCCAAAGAGCGGAAGGGTAGTTCGGGGCCCGGAAACCCAGCCCTGCCCAGGTGGCGCCAGCTACAGACAGATTGGCTTTATTCATGGACACGCTGGGGGGCGGCTGGGCCGGCCCACCCGGGACACGCTCACACAGTGGGTGGGGGGCTCTCCATGCCACAATCACAACACACGACGCCCGCGCTCGGATCGAGCGGGCTGAGGGAGGGGGCATGGCACAACCTGGCTCCTAGTTTGGGTTAAAAAAAAAAAAAACATTATAGGGGTCAAAGTGGGGCTGCCCGGGGGGCCCCCTCGGAGAACCTCTGTTGGGATGGGGAAGGAGCCATAGCTTTCCCATCTCGGTTTAAAAATACATAGAACATGCTACATCCGCGCAGACACTGGACCAGATGGAGGGTGAGGGGTAACATTGGTGGGGCTGGGCTCCCAGCGGGGCCTCTGCCCGACTCCAGTCCACGCCTCAGGGATGAACGCGGGCAGGTAAGACAGACAGAAGGGCAGGGCAGACACTAACACGGGCCCGGAGGAGGTGCCTTGAGGCCCAAGGAAGATCTCTTGTTTGTGGGAAAAGGTAGAAGGACAGCCCTGGCTCTGGGGGTTAGAGATGGGGCAGGGAAGGGAAGAATTGTGCTGCTGGTGCGGGGGGCCCTCCTGGACCCTTAGGCCTCTGGCTCGTATTCCTGATACTCCTCCTGCATCAAAGGGAGGGGGGTGGGATAGAGAAGGGCATAAAGGGAGTGTTGGAGACTTGAGTGGTCAAGTGCAGACCCCTCCCCATCAAGGAGGAACAATGTTTGTCCCTCCAGGAGAAACCTGTAGTTGGGTTCAGCTGAGATAGTTGTTGTACCTGAGGACTGGTGTTAGGCACCATCTGCCCTCTCCTGCCCACCCAGCCCAACTTTATTATGCTGGGGACTTCCCACCCAGCTAGGGATGACTCCAGTCTTCAGGGACGCCCCGGCCCCGCCCGCTGCCCCGCCCGCTGCCCCCTCACCTGGGGTGTTTCCTCATAACTCTCCCCTTCAGGTTCCATCAGGGGTTCAATCAGTGGCTCCTCAGCAGCTTCTTGGGCTACCTCTTCTGGCTGTGGACAGACAAGAGCAGGCCTGTGTGGGGAGCTGGGCACTCCTTAAACCCCGTGCCAGGGTGCTATGGGTGCTTGGAAGAGTGACGGTGACTCAGGAGTGCAAGCGGTATTTAGGTAGGGCGTTCGTTTGGAGGTCTGAAAAGTGAGAGGTGAATGGCGAACCCCCCAATCCTGGGGGTGGGCGAGTTAGGAGTGTGGAGAGAGCGATGAGCACCCCTCTCAGCCCAGAACCTGGCAGCCTCGACCTCTATCACGGAGACTGAATAAACAGGGAGACAGCCAAGGGGCCTCCTGTTTAGGCACAGGTAAACTGCGGGACTAACTATAGGACCCAGGAGAGAGCTCCCTAAGCTCCCTCCCAGCAGAGGGAGCTGCGGGCTCAGGTTTGGGGCTGGAGAGGGGCTCTGTGCCACCGCTGCTTTTCCACCCATCCCTCCCTCCCCCAGGGCAGAGCTTGGCCTGATTTCTTCACTGCAGCTATTTTAAGATAAGCTGGAAGCAACAGCTCATGGTGTTGCTTGGATGTGTGAGCTAAGACTCTTCCCTCCCCCTGCATCTGCTGCCCAGATGGGCACAGACCAATGAGTATGCATGTAGAGGTCTGCTAGGCACATGGCTGGCCACCTGCGATTGAGCACATATGTGTAAACACATGATGACTTGGGGTGTACGCATGGCTGTAGGAGGCCACGTGTGGGCCGGCACATGCCTGGGACCCTGGAGCTGTGGTACTGGGAGGTTGGTGCTCCCAGTTTCCACTGGTAGCTTCAGCTCCTTGGAGCATTGTCTATTTGTACACCTTTGGGTCCAGGCTTTGCATCTCCTGTGAGCGAGGATGGTGGCTCATTCCCCTCTTTGTGGAGATGACCAAAGAGATGAGAAATATTAGTTTGTCCCAAGTTACCCAGCTATGACCAGAACCCAGGAAAGACACAGTTGAAGGCCTCAGCTTGAGGCCTTCAGGGTATAGCTTCATGCTAGAACATGTGTGTCACGTGCTAAAGGCCCTGGCCTAATCTGTAGTACCCCATCCCAAGTAGATCCGAGCTTGAGCCTTTTGTTTGGAAGTGGATACAATAGGGTAAGTAGGCTCTGGGCATGTGGCCTGACCACAGTGGAACATGGGCCATGGGGAATGGAGAATGGTCGCACAAATGATAACAGGCTTAGAAGTCGCACTGTGGATTAGGAAAGGCAGAATACATAAAAGCATGTACTCTTCGCGATGATGTGTGCATGAGGTTAGAAAGCACCTGACCAGTTTGCAGTGATGGAAGTCAGGAGGCAGGTGCCCTTGGAGGGGGTAGGCAGGGCCTAGACTGAAGGGCGCTAAGTGAGCACATGGGATGGAGACATTGGGAGGTACTTTCCCCATGAACCAGGCATGTTCCACTGCCTCATGCGGGCCTGGCTAAGGTAAGGGGTTTTAAAGGCAATGTAGTACAGGGATTCTAGAGGCTGCCGGTGTTTTGGGTCTTGAACTGGCTGCTGCCTTCGTTGGGGAGATCCCTTTCCAAAATGCCTTTCTTTTTGGTGTGTGTGTGTGTGTGTGTGTGTGTGTGTGTGTGTGTGTGAGTGAGTGGTGGGGGCATTTAAAGCAGCTTTTAAAAAGATTTATTTTTACACGTATGAGTGTTTGTCTGCACGTATGTCTGTGTGCTACATGTGGGCCTGGTGCCTAAAGAGGCCAGATGAGGACACTGGATCCTTTGGAGCTGGAATTACAGATGGTTGCGAGCCGCTATGTGGGTGCTGGGAACCTAACTCAGTTCCTCTGCAAGAGCAACACGTGCTTTTATGGGCTGGGTCATCTCCCTAGTCCCAAAAGGAAGTCTTGGATAGCCCCAACAGGTCACATGTTCGCTGCTGTCCTGGTCACGGAGCACTCACTGTTTGCTGGCCGGGCTTTCTATCTAAGTGTGGTCTCCAGGACTGCAGTATTAAGTCATCTGTGTGCTTTCATCCCTCACTTCCGCCTCAGGACCCCGTGTCTCCTGTTCAAAGCTGCTTACGATAGAGTTCTGACACATCTTCTCAGGGCTGTCTTCCCTTGATCCTTTGGATGGCACCTCCCCAGGGAATCTCCTGGCTCAAGTAGCCCTGTCGCAGTGTTTACCCCATCACAGCAACCCCATCTTCACTGTGCACACATAGCCTGTGTGACACTGTCATGCGCACTGGTTGGCTTTCTTTCCCTGCCTCAGTACCGTGACTGCAGGGGCCCCGCCCACTGTGGCGCCACTAGGAACACGTCTTCACTGGTGTGGACATACATTCAATGAAAGGAAATGAATGAACCAACCATGGCATGTTCAGACGTGGCCAGGAACATCTGGAATCATGCTTGTAAGTGGGCTATGCTCTGACAGCCCCTTCTGGGTCCCTTCACAGGGAGCATGGCGGCAACACACGCCTCCCGACAGCTGCATTCTGAGCGTAGCACAGACTTGTTGGAGAGGAGACAGGCAAGCTTGTTCCCAGGCTGGGGCGGGGTAGGGGGTGGGGGGAGTAGAGGTGGGTGGGTGTGCCCGGTATGCACAAGGGTGGTAGGAGAACACTTGCCTTCAGGTCTGTGGGGAACTCCTCCTTCTTCACCAGGCCTGTGGCTGCTGCAATGTTCCCAGCCCCGGAGAACACAGCTCCTCCCAGGTGTGATGCCTGCTCCTTGGTTTTCTCAGCCACTGGAGCAGGGAGTGGCGGGGGGGGGGGGCGGTCAGTGCCAGGCACCTGCCCACCCATAGTATCCCAGACAGAGTTTTTCTTCCCCAGGGGCAAGCCTCCCAGAAGCCTCAGGAGTCCCCGGACCCCTCACCCCCATAAAACACTAGGACTGGGCGGGTACCTGAGGCCACACCTTGTACCACTCCCTCTTTGGTCTTGCTTCCTATAGGAAGAAACAGGAGCATAGTTCAGGAGTTTGAGCACAGTGAACAGAGATTCCAACCCAATGCAGGGGCCATGCTGTGAGCAGAGGACCCGGGGAGCAATGGGTTCCTTGAACTGCCTCCCAGACCCCCACATCCCACAATTCTCACCCCCACACCAATTACACTCAGTCCTTATATATTTCCCCAGGCCTTCTGGTCCCCTGCTCCAACACCCACACCTCCCATTGGAGGCTGGCTGAGGGTCAGGGCAAAGCTCTGAGCTTCTCCTGTTCTACAGGGCCATGTGTTTGGAAGATGTCCTTGGTGCCCCACGCATGTCTCATGGATGTCTCTCACGAGTGCCTCCTTCAAACAAGGGCCAGTTCCTCCTCTTGACTAAAGTGGGGAACGTTAGGTGCACTTGAGTGTAAAGGTGATGCTCAGATTGTAGAAGGCACTCGTGACATCAGATGGGCCTTCGTCGGGGTCAGGGTGGTGGACCAGCACTGGAACAGGCAAGATGTTCTGACCATAGGGCATGGGTCTGGATAATCCGTCATGTGTAGGCTGAGCAACTAGACAAAGGCTGCTAAATCTAGGCTAAGGCCAATACAGAGAGGATGAGGCTAGGTTAGCCAGAGCCAAGAGTGCAGCCAGGGTGACATGAGGTGTGCCCAAAACTATGGCCAACGAGAACTTGGAGGTAGAGGGGACAAGAGTCATCTGCATGCTATCCACCCATCAGCAAATCGTTTGCATGTTTCATGTGCAAGGCCTGGGCCAGAGGCTCACTGTCTGACCTCGAGTTGTAGGGGAAGAATGTTTAGACTCCAGGGACTGCAGGAAGTGGGGATGCTGCCCAGGACTGGAGAAACGGGGAACACGTGGATATTCTAAAATGAGACCAGGCAGGCAAAACGGCCACCCGAGGACCAGAGCGCTGGGTACGGTGCAAACAATGCTGGAAATGAGGCAGAAGTAGGGCCATGAGGGGCACTGCACGGTAGGCGACAGGAGACCTTAACACAGCGGCCCCGCAAGGGGAGACTAGGAAGTGCCTTCCCAGGGAACTGGCCCCATGGCTTGGAGAGGCAGAGCCCATTAGAGGAGAGACAACACTGGGTAAAAGATGAGTGGGGAAGGGAGGCAGAGCCTGGCTAAGCACACGTGGGCTCAAGGCTGGGCTTAATTAATTACCACTGTGCCTGTCTCAGCCGGCAATCCCTCCTGGTCCCCTGCAATCTGCTCTGCTCCTGGAGGTTGGAGGGACCATTCTGAACTGGCCAGATCGTGTCAGCCTCTCCCTTATAGCTTCTACTGGCAATTAGAGGATGCTCCAGCCTGGCATGCAAGGTCTTCTTGTGAACTGGCTCTTGCCCACAGGCCTGAGCAATCCTCCACCATGACTCCTGCTTGCCAGGCTGTAGCTATGGTCCCGAGTCCTGCCTTTCTGCCTTCCGGCTCTTTAGTGCTCAGGACTGATCCCGTACGACTTTTACAGGCAGCTGCTCCCACTTTGGCTCTTTCCCTAAGTGATTCCCACATTTGCTAACTGATGTCAGAACCATCATGGCCATCACTGAAATGCTGTGCTCAGCCATGAGGGGTTCACAGCCCTGCCCCCTTTCATCGTCACAGCTCAGCATTCACACAATGCTTGGCACGCAGTATGTTTTTAATGATCATAATCTGAATTTGCTATGACCTTGGGCAAACTATCCAGCTCTTTCATATCGTTTCTACAAGAGCCAGCCCTGGCCCACCATGTAAGCTCCAAAACAAGTGGGCTAGCTTCCATCTCCAGCCTTTTCCCTCGTTATGCAAATTACTCTTTCACACTTTGGGTGAGAGACTTTAACCTCCTGGCCTTTGTCCCAACCCCAGCTGGCAGCTGAGAGGAGAATGAACTGGAGGGACTGCCCAGGAAAACTCACAGGCTGTGTGTGTGTGTGTGTGTGTGTGTGTGTGTGTGTGTGTGTGTGTGTAGCTGGAGAGAGCCCGCCAATACCCAGGGAAGGTGGCGCTTCCCAGCTGGATTCACACCCCAGTTTCAAGCTTTCCTAGCTGTGTGACCTTGGGCAGAGTGGTTAAGAGAGGGCCCCAGTGTCCCTGAGCTGTAGGAAAAAGGCCAGGAGCATTAAATGCTGTGGCATTTCTCAGCACTTAGCCTTAAGAAAAGGTTCCCCGTCAGGTCCCTATTAATGGTGGTGACAGGGTAAGGGAAAGGGAACTTTGATGAGCTCACTACATTGGTCCTACCTTCAACAGCTCCCACCCTGTTCCCACCTCCCTCTGGTCGATTCCACGAGCTGACTGTGTCCCCATTGACCCCTACTGACCTCATCCATCTGCTGACTCACATTCTCATGCCCAGACCCCTCAGTTCCTCTGAGCACCCTTCCTGATACCCCAGGAGACACCCAGCCCTGCAGCTCCCTGCAGCCCTTGCCCACCGACGTAGAGGACGCCCTCCTTGGTCTTCTCTGCTGCCTCGGTGACCCCTTGCTTGGTTTTCTCGGCTGCAGCCACAACGCCCTCCTTGGCCATGGACAGGCCCTTCATGAACACGTCCATCCTGGCGGCCTGGGGAGGGTGAACACACAAGTGCTGGGAGCTGGCTCCACACCCTCTCCAGCCCTCCTGGGGGATCCCTCCATCCCTGAGAATTGGCGCGCTGGGGTTCAGAGCCCCCCTCCAACCCACTCCACTCCCCAGTTCTAGGCCTCAGGGCCATGCTGCGGTGAGTCCAAACGTCCTTGAAACCCTGGGACGCGGGAGGGGCCACCACCTCGGTTATCCGGAGATCTGCAACCTGCAGGCCCTCAGAACCGGAAGCTGGGCTCAGCACGAACACCCGGGCCTGTCTGCACACACGACAGTCACACGGTCTGCATACAAACACACACCATGGACATGCTCACGTGCACACACAGGACACGATACGTTCAGAAGCGCATGGACACTCTGACACACGGGCAGGGATGCACGTCCGCACATCCACCTAGACTGTAGCAACCGGAGAGGACAGACACACGCATCCTGCAGCTGCCCGCGTCTGCCCAGCACTTTCCCATCTCTGTGCCCATGTTTCTGCCAAATGCGGTCTCAATTCCCTTCCTCATCTCACCCTCGGTCCCTCTGGATCCTCTCAGTTCGATCCCCTTCCGTGTGCCTCACCTGGGTTTCGGGGCCGGGCTGGGGATGGAGCTGTGGTGGCGGCAGCGGCGAGCAGACGCTGGGGCTGGGCTATGCTGGGCAAGGTTGGGCTCGGGGCAAGTGGGGTCCGGCCGTGGTCAGGCGCTCGTGTCACCCGCCCTGAGCAGCAGCGCAGCAGTGCTCCGGTCTTGGGTGCGCTGCTACCAAGGATGCTACTCCCGCGCTCCGGCTCCGCTGGCTCCGGCTCCAGCTCTGGCGCTGCGGCAGCTCTGAGCTCAGCACCCCCCCTGGTGGCCGCGCCGCCCCTTCCGCCTGACTGACAGGGGGCGGGGAGGATGACATCTCCCCAGAGCAAGCAACCTCCATGAGAGGGCCTCTGACGTGCAGCTGGGGACCCTGGTGCTTGAGACATAGTCTTTGGGGAGCGTGGACGGAGGGGGCAATGCGGCGACAGAGGAGTAGGAAGAAACGATGCGGTTGGTTTGGGAGTTCAGATAGATTCGAATCCTAGCTGCATTTGTTAGTGACTGTGGGATCTCGAACTGCTTAGCTCTCTTTTTGAATCGCCAGGTAGATCCCTCTTCTGAGAAACGCAGGAGGGAGTCAATGCCTGCCTAGGCAGAGCTTAGATATGTGGTGCAGGTTCGGGGTGTGGAGACGGGAGGGAAAACCAAGGTTTTGACCTCAGGGAGATGCCCACGCTGACATGAGAGGTAGGAAACAAAATGTGTGCACACTTAAACCAAACAGGGTTATTTCTCTGTGAGAGGTGATAGGAAGACAGAGAGATGCTGGTGTAAGAGAGAGGGCTGGAGCAGGGGCAGTAAACAGCGACGGCCTCTGCAAGGAAATGACCCTAGAGATCGGGGGAAGCAGCAAGGTAGGCCAAGACAGGCGGGGGTAATCCACAGAGCGGACCTTCGGTTGCAAAGGCTGGAGGCACCACCACACCGAGGGCCAGTCCGAAGGCAGCGCGACCTAGAATGGGAGCTGGAGAGAGGTAGACACAGGCCTTTGAGTATAGTTGGGGTGGGGGGTTCCTGATGCACAGTAGGACCTCAGTCAGTTCTGTGATGGGATTATGCCCATGCAGGTGTGGAATTCCCGACGAAAGGGGCCCTGCCAGGTCAGGGAGGCAGAATAAGTAAGGAGGTATGACGTAACACGGGGTTTCGCTTAAAACACCAAGACAGTGGGGATGGAAGTGTGAGGTGTTTGAGAGGTAACTGGTGAGGGAGGTGTGCCAGCTGCAGACAGCGGGCATGGGCAAGAAGACGCTCATGGCTGTGGCAGGACTGTAAGCTGGCAGAGGCTTTTAGAAGGCCAGTTTGGCAGCATTTCTCGGGAGAATGAATGCACACTCCTTTTGGATCAGCAGCTGCAGTTCGAGGAACTCTGTAGATCCCTACCAGCACACTGAGACGTGGGCAGGGACGGTGGTTGTAGAACACATGACAATGTTCTAAACGTCCTCCTGGAGGTCTGGTTACTTCCTTTCTGCACATCCACTCCGTGGCACACTGTGATGGTGCGCGGAGCCATGAGCCAGACCCAGTGAACTAACACAGCAACGAGAGAAGACATGGTGTAATGAGAAGCAGGGTGTGAAGCTTGTAGCTGGTTCTGATACATAGATAATTACATTCTGTGCTTACATATTTAATAAGTCATATGTAAGAGCAATTTTCTGTACATCAATATGTATTTGTTATATGTAAGTACTAGTATATATTAATACATGTGCACATATATGTATATATCACATACTACTTGTACTAAATACAGACATGTTCAGTACAAACATACACATACCTTCCCTAGCAAAGGGAGCTGCATCCTTAGATTCAACCAACAACTGATCAAGAAGACCCGTTGGAGAGATGACTCAGTGACTGAGTGAGTGTACAGCTCTTCCAGAAGACCAGAGTTCAATTCCCAGCACCCACACCAGGCCCCTCTCCCCCGTTGTCCTTGCTACAAGGGATCTTCTGGCCTCGACAGTGTGCTCATGGGGGCACACCCACATATATAAGCATAACAAACATCTTTAAATCAAATTTAAGTAAGAAAATGTGTGAAGACAAATGCTATCTGTGCTGAACACACACAATGTTCTTGGCATTGTCTTTTAAGCAATAGTTACCCGGCACTGCACTTATGGGGTGTTAGAAGTCCTCCAGGAAGATTGGCCTGCAGAAGGCCTTGAGCATCTACTGACTCCAGTGTCTGTGGTGAGTTCTGCAATCATGCTCAGAGAATACCAAGGGTTGTTTGCACACATTCACAGCTAGAGAAACACAGGACCACAGCCACAAAACGGCTAACTGAATTGCTCCTGGGAAGTGAGGGCATGAAGCAAGCAGGCTCAGGCTCAGGGATAGGCTTTTTGTCTCTTCACCCTGTGTGTGTGTGTGTGTGTGTGTGTGTGTGTGTGTGTGTGTGTGTGTGCTGTCTGATTATTTTCCCTAGCCTGGGACTTTGTCCAGAACCCTGGTGTTCTGAAAGCCCTCACAGCCTGCTCAGCAATGGGTTCTGTGTCATCCAGGCTGCAGGGTCACTGTCCCAGAAACAGAGCTGCCTGGTGTTTAGCCAAAGGTGCTTTAGATGCTTAGATGAGCTGCAGGATTTCTGTAGTCTGCACTCAGAATTCTGAATGCCAGTAAGATGAAGAGTAAAGGACAGTGTGCCAAAAGGGAGAAGAGAGGAAGAAGAAGGGGAACAGAGGTAAAGAGTTTGCACCGCATACTGTAGGAAACTGACACGGAACCATTTTAGGGCTTTGCCGTTTTTGTTTGCTTTGAGACAGAATCTCATTATATAGCTAGGCTAGATCAGATCAGACTTGCAGAGATTCACCTGCCTCTGCCTCATGAGTGCTGGGACTAAAGGGATGCACTACCTCACCTGACTAAAATTCTACTTTTTAAGTTAGTTTAAGGGTACATACAGTCCATCGTGGTGAGGAAGTCAAGGCAGTGGCAGCTTGAGGTGGCCAGCCACATTGTGTCCACAGCAAGGAGAGGAATGTTGTTGTTCAGTGCTTTTTTTTTTTTTTTTTTTTTTTTTTTTTTTTTTTGAGACAGGGTTTCTCTGTATTGTTTTGGAGCCAGTCCTAGAACTCGCTCTATTTACCAGGCTGGCATCGAACTCACAGAGATCCGCCTGCCTCTGCCTTCCGAGTGCTGGGATCAAAGGCGTGCACCACCAGTGCCCGGCCATTCAGTTCTTTTTATTCTGTCCTGGACACCAGCCCATCAAATGGTGCTGCCCACATTTGAAGTGTCTTTTTCTACCGTAATTAACCAAATCTAGAAACTTCCTCACAGACAGGCACGGAGGTTTGTTGCCTAGGTCATTCCAGACGCTATCAGCTAACAATACTGCCCACAAATATGTCACTGGCATCTCTTCCTGTATCCAGTGTCTCCTGGGTGTCCATCGGGTGCCAGGGACAGGAGCTTCGGCTGAGAGCAAGATGAGGGGACGCCCACATTCCAGCAGGGAGAAGGGGTCACGAGTGAGCAGGGCTGCGTACAGTTCTGGGACCACGCACTCTTGCCGGCATCACGTGGCATCCACCTTACTATCTCACGTCAACTGCTCCCCCCTGAGATTTCCCTAGAAGCCAAGCACTCTTCTACTGCAAGAGTGCAAACACTAAGGAAATTAAATTAATAAAACAGTGTATTGGGGTACAGGTGTGTGTGTGTGTGTGTGCGTGTGCGCAGGCATGCGTGCGTGTGTGTGTGCGCGTGTGTGTGTGCGCGCGCGCGTGTGCGTGTGTGTGCGCGCGCGTGCGTGTGCGTGTGTGTGAATAAGAGAAAGAGACGGCGATGTGGTGGCTGAGGAGTTTCTGTCACACAGGGAGATGTTGTGTGAATCTTTTACTCTCTTGGCTTTTTTTGAGGGGCCTACCACCCAGCTCCCAAATAAATCACACACAGAGGCTTTTTTTTTTTTTTTTTTTTAGTTAGGGATGCCTGGCCTTAGCTTGGCTGGTTTTTAGCCAGCTTTTCATAAATTAACCTGTCTTCCTTTTTTTCCTCTGGGCTTTTATTTTTCTTACTTTTATATATATCTTACTTTTCTTCCTACTCTGTGGGTAGCTGGGTGGGAGGCTCCTGACATGCTCCTCCCCTTTCTCTCTTGTTCCTCCTTGAGCCTCATTTCTTCTTCTATTTATACTTCCTGCCCGCCAGCTCCGCCCATCCTTGCTCCTGCCTCACTATTGGCCATTCAGCTCTTTATTAGGACCATCAGGTGTTTTAGACAGGCACAGTAACACAGCTTCACAGAGTTAAACACAAACCCTGACTCCAGGAGCTGTGGATGGTGCTGTCATGCCTGGAAGCCACCCTGTGCTAGGGAAGAGACCAGGGCTCTCTCTGATGCAGCTGAGACCATGCCCACCCCTAGAGAGATTTCTCCCTTTGTCCATCAAATAGAGGTCCATTAGCATTGTCCCTGCCTAGGTACCCCACAGTTCCCTTCAAGAGCTCTAGCCCTGCATTGAATTTACATACTTGCGAGTGAGGGGAACACAGCAAGCCTAAGGGTGAACTAGGTTTCACATGTGAAGCTGAAGTCCTGGCAATGTCTGCTTCCTGTCTTTGGGCATGTTTGCTCTGGGAACCCGTGGGAACCTGGCCACCACACTGTGAAAGCTGAGCAGCCACACATGGAGAAGCCACACAGAGCTGAGGTTCCTGCTGACAGCTGCACTAGCTACCCCATGTGGGTGACAGATGCCTTCAGCCCCAAGCTGTGAGCCAGCCTAGCCTATCTTGCTTTGGAGCAGAGTTAAGCTGATCCTACGGGTACTGCAGATCTGCAAGCATAGTAAACGATGCTTACTGTTGCAGGTCACCAGGACTGGCTGTGTTATATGGCAACAGGAGAGTGGACTGTTGTCCCTCTCTTGCTTCCAATACTTCTAGACACATCTCCCTTTTCTTTGCCGGTGGGTGTCCTCCCCACCCCCACCCCCGCCCCAGGGTCTCTCTATGTAGCCCTGGCTGTCCTGGAACTCACTCTGTAGACTGGACTGGCCTCAAGCTCAGAGATCTGCCTTCCTCTGCTGGCATTAAAGGTGTGTGCTGTCACATCCAGCTCTGTGGCAGTTAATTTTGATTGCCTATTAAGCTGGATTAAAAAGCATCTAGGGCATTAGTGAATTATACCTTGCGTGTGTCTGTGAAGTCCTTTCCAGAGAGGCTTGGCTCAGAGGGGGAGGCTAGCACCATTCTGTGGGTTAGCCTAGGGTCACAGACTGAAGGAAAAGGGAAAAGGAGGACGCCACCTGAGCACCCGTGTTCCCCTCAGCTTCCCGAGCCACGAACATGTGGGCCATGCCTTCCCAGACACAAAGGGCTGAATCCTCTGAGCTGTGAGCCCAAATGAACTAATCAGAAATGCAGATCTTCAAGTTGAACTCAGCTCTAAGCAACCAGAAGCATGGGAGCAAGACCCAGTAGTCTTTAAATATAAAGAAAGCCTTTAATGTGTACGTTTGTATGCATGGGTGTGCACGTGTGCACCATCATGTGGCATCTGGAAGCAATTCAAGGGAGCTGATTTTCTCCTTCTACCATGTAGGTTGCAGGGACTCAGTCCTCAGGAGACTGGAGACAAGCACCTTTACCTGCTGAGCCATGGTTTCAGCCTCCATCGGCCAGTTCTGATTGTGCATACAAGACCCACACCTCTCTAAGGCCTAGGTCAGATCCCAGACTTTCTCCTCCCAGCCCTCACTCCTTTCTGATAGAAGCTTGTGCTGCTGTGGACTGAGGTCTGTGCTTAAGGTCACAGATGAGTCTTGTTCCCACCAGACTCCAGCAGAGTGTGCAGCTTTAAAAAAAAAAAAAAAAAAAATGGTGCTGGGCTGGAACCCAGGGCTGATCAGCTCACCGACCCATTTGGTGCCCACTATTGCATGCCAGAACCTAGCCTGGTGTCCCAAGTACTGTGGTGTGGGCCGATGTGGGTTGACAACAGTGGATTGTCACCTCCCAGTTGATCATCCCACCCCGACCCTTCTGTGATAGGAGGGTGAGCAACCTTTTCAGAATAAAGAGGCTGCAACGCTGAGCTTCTTATCTTCCTCTTCGTGTTTGGTTTCTTCCCCTGCCAGGATGCTCTCACCTGATATCCATGGAGCAGTGAGCCAGGCCTCACTCTCTGGGCCTCATGTGAAGTTCTGAGTCACATATCGACCTCCTAGTCTGCAAGCCGGGGGAAACGAGGCTCCACGGGATCAGTAGTTTGGATCAGTGTAGGGAAGGACTTAACCGTGCTGGGCGACTGTGGCACTGTGTCATACCAGCGATGTCCAGGTGAGAAACACTCAGATGAGTGTTCTTGGCATGAAGCATGGAGGGCAGCCCCATAGTGGATGGGGGCCTTACAAGGTGGAGGGCCTCGGGGTGCCGAACCCTCCAAATTCTCAGGATAAATCAGGAGTGAGGCTTTTTAACACAAAAGCCTGCCTGTCTTTAAACCTGAACAAATTTTCTTATAACTCAAGCCAGTACTTGAGACTGGCCTTGAAATCCTGGTCCCCCTGTTTCTATTGCCTGGATGCTAGGATTACAGGCATGCGCTACCCTGTGCAGTGTTTACCACCTTAAAAACAAAATAAAGCAAATACACAACAATAAACAACTCAGCTGCTTCTAGAGCCAGATAACTGCCACTGGATGATATTAAAGGCACAAACTGAAGATATACATGGGACCGGGGTGGGGTGCCATGTAAACGTTGTTACCTTTGTCATCTGTAGAATAGCCTGCTTCAAAGTCAGGTTTCTCTCAGTAGGTCCCAAATACCTTAAGAACAGACCCCAAATGTTGGTTCTTACTTTCAATTCTCTTGAGTCCCCCCCTCCCCCCCTCCCCCGCCACTGCCTGAGCATGGGTTTTCCTTGTCACAGCTGTATAGGGTGATGAGCACTTACCTTCTAACTGAAGGAGTCTGGCAAATTCTCTCCCACCCTACCCACACCTCACAAGCTCCTCCCCCCACCTGCCTGCCCAGGTGTGACTAGGTTCTGTGGTGGGTTAAAAGCAAGGCCCCATGGGCCTCTGAGCTGCTGGTGAAGCCTTGTCACGGCCACTTCCATCATGGCCACTTCCGATGCTGTGAGTCTACCCACCTGCCTATCCCGGAGTCATTGACTGGCTGTCCTGGAACTCACTCTGTAGACCAGGCTCGCTTTGAACTCAAAGAGATCCTCCTGCCTCGGCCTCCCGAGAGTGCCAGGGTTAAAGGAGTATGGCACACTGCCCCTGCTCTGGCTTACTCTTATTCTCTCCTCTGGTCAGACACTCAAAGCTGAGGGTGGAGAGCAGAAGGGGGAGGAGGAGGAGGAGAAAGAAAAGCCATCAGAAGCAGCTGTGGGGGTCGGCCAAGGAGAAGAAGCCAGAGACCTTCCTGGACCCCTTCAGACTCCGAGGAGGACGTCCCGCAGAGAATGCCAGCTCCGGGTCCTGACAGAGCAACACCCCCTGCAGTACAGGTAGGGAGGCCACAGAGACACGGTCCCGTGAGGTCACTGTCTGTGCCACTTGAGCTGCCGGACACCCTTGAGTCCTGCCCCCACTCAGTGGACTTTAAAAAAGAAATCTGTTTTGTATCTGAGTACTCTGTCTTCCTATAGGACTACAGGCCAGAAGAGGGCATCGGGTCCCATTATAGATGGCTGTGAACCACCATGTGGTTGCTGGGAATTGAACTCAGAACCTCTGGGAGAGCAGCCAGTGTTCCTAACTACTGAGCCCTCTCCAGCCCTCGGTGGATTTTTTAAATACCCTGTCACTGGGCCTTCAGGGATAACCAACTTCTATGTCTCTGGGGGCTGTGTGTGCCAGACCTCACCCCCTACTTACACACTCGTGAACCCAGGATGTGCTGCAGTGGAGGGCATGGAGCCTTGACCCTCCTCTCTCCTCATTCCCCAGGTGGGTTCTGTGGTTCTTCAAGAATGACCGAAGCCGGGCCTGGCAGGACAATCTGCAGCTAGTCACCAAGTTTGACACTGTGGAGGACTTCTGGGCGTGAGTGCCCTGGGGGTGGTGGTGGGGGTGGTGGCTCTGAGCTGGGGGCCAAAGGCATCGTAGCCTGGCACCTTCTCAGGGGCTTGTAAACATTTGCTGGGAACTAGGGGTTGGCAGGTTCTGGCCATATTTCCACCCCCACCCCCAAAGCTTCTTGAGCTTAGGGAGAACCTCAGGCATGGGGAAAGCAGGGGTGATGCCGCCTGCTACTTTGTGGCTTTGTGACCCTGAGCAGGTTTCTTTCTCTCTGGGAACCTGGCTCAGCCATAGTGAGGAGCAGGCTGCTGCCTTAGAGTTTATGTGCCAGAGAAGAGCACTGAGAAACCCACATAAACTCAAAGAGGGTGCCCAGCTGGAATGCCCTACCGGCGTGGACTTCACCAGGCTTCCTTAGTTGGGTCAGATTCCCAGAGAGGGGGTTCCAGGCATCAGGGGGGCGGCGGCGGCGGCGGCGGCGGCGGTGGCGGCGGTGGTGGTGGTGTGTGTGTGTGTGTGTGTGTGTGTGTGTGTGTGTGTGTGTGTGTGTAGGCCCTGGGAGGAAGGAAGCAGGTGGTAGGAAGGTAGTTCTGATGAGGAGCTGGAAAATCCGGGTCAGGTGAGCCATGTGCTGCAAAGCTTTGAACTCTGTGCGTCTTTCCAGGACCTACAGCCATATCAAGCTGGCCAGTAAGCTCTCTTCTGGCTGTGACTATGCTCTGTTCAAGGTAGGCTCTGCTCAAGGGACTGATTCCAGGGCTTTCCCCTCATGGGTGCTGGGGCATGGGCAGCTACAGATGCTTGAGTCTGGAGGGAAGAGGGTATCAAGGTTTGGGGACCACACAGCCAAGCCTGGGATGCCTACCCTAGCCCACAGAAATTCTGCCCCAGAGGCACCCTGTTCAGTAGAGGTGATGCACACAGATAAGGTTTCAAGGTGGCAACAGTGAGGCTCAGCGGCTTGTGGGGTTTTGAAGAGGCCTGAGCGGGAGGCTGGGTGATTGGCAGCAGCATCTGCATGTGCAGAGAGGATGTAGGTAAGAGAAGCAGGCCTACCCTAGCTGAGGCCTGGGTTCAGGGCAGACAGGGCTGTGCAGAGCAGGCTTGGTGTCTGCTTCCCTGTAAACAAAGGCAGGCAGTTGATCTGCCAGTCCTCACAGGAAGGCATCCAGCCCATGTGGGAAGACAACAGGAACAAGCGGGGTGGCCGCTGGCTGCTCAGTCTTGCCAAACAACAGCGCCACACCGAACTGGACCGTCTGTGGCTGGAGACAGTGAGTGGTGGGAAGGGTCCTGGTGCCTTGAGGAGGTAGCGGTGGTTGCAGCGGTCGCAAAGCTGGTGGGGTGGACCCTGTTTCCAAGCTGGAGCACTTACAACCTCCTTTGGGCCCAGTTGCTATGTCTGCTTGGGGAGAGTTTTGAGGAATCCAGTAAGGATGTCTGTGGAGCTGTTGTCAACATCCGCACCAAGGGGGACAAGATTGCTGTCTGGACAAGTGAGGCAGAGAACCAGACGGCAGTGATGCACATCGGGTGAGAGCCCTCTCTGCCCGTGTTCTGGGGACTGGGTGGGCGGAGCTTGGCCTGCAAGGACACCTCTGGAACCCTCTATACCTGCTCTTCTTCCATACCCACCGGTATAAAAGGGGTAGGAATATAGACCCAGACCACCTTAACTAAAGAAGACTTCATTCGCACCGGAGGGTTGTGTGGGTGCTGGCCTCATCTGTGAGTAAGACATGCAAAACCGGCAAGCCTATGGCTGGAACCAGGGAGCCATCCCTCCTGTCTCCCACTCCAGGCAGGTATACAAAGAACGTCTGGGCCTCTCTACCAAGACCATCATTGGGTACCAGGCCCATGCAGACACTGCTGCCAAGAGCAACTCTTTAGCCAAGAACAAGTTTGTGGTGTGAGGCAGACTTCAGCCGCCACTCATGGGACACCCTCGTACTGCGGTTTGCTGAATGGCAGGACTATCCGTCCCCAGTGGGCAGGCAGCTGGATTCTTCACTTGTCTCGGGAAACGTCTAAGCACCCGTACCCCTTAAGGCCTCACTACGTTGCTCAGGTTAGCCTCATATTTATGGACTTGAGACATCCTCCTGCTCCAGACTAAACAACTGGGGTAACCAGGAGCTCACCATTGTGTCTGGATTCATACTAGTTTTCTACATCTGTTGGGCCCAGGCCTTGTGGCAGCTGGCCAATATTTACAAACCACACTTGATCTCTAACTCTGTGTGTGGCCATTTGGCAGAGGCCGGCGAAGCAAAGTCCAGGCTCATCCCAGCCAAATGAGGACAGGAGAATCCCCTGGCCAACACTTCTCTGTGCCTGCTGAGCAAGGGGACTGGGCGGCCTGAGGCAGGCTCTTCTGTCTTGGGAGAAGGGCTCCAGGCCACTGATACTGAGTAGTTTGGTTCTGTTAGAAGCTTATGGGTTAGCCGTCATCCATCTGTAGTTTGGGTGCCGTCCTACACCCTGTCCCTTCCCTAGACCAACTGTGGCTTGGTTCTGGAATTGTCTGCCCTCCCCACCCACTTTACCCCAACCTCTGCCATGGGCTGTAGGGAAAAGACTGCATTTGTGAAGACGGGTAGGCTCTGGGACTGAGCAAGCCTGCACAGTCCTCTCAAGACACAACAGCAGTCAGTCCAGTGCCTTAGGGCAGGCTGAGAGGGAGGAGAGGATAAACTGGCACCATGAAGAAATTACTGGTGGGGGTTGGGGTTCACTTGAGGCTACTGGCACTCAAGCCTCCCCCCCTTTGTTTTGTATCTGTTCTAAATAAATACTTTGGGATAAACGTGGAATCTAAATACTTAAGATTCAGGCTTCCCTAAGCCTGGACCTGTCCTGTCCTGCTTCAGGACTTCAGTGAGTCCCAGGTACCAAGGAAACCGGAGAAAGCCAAGTCAGTATGTGAAGGGGCTGTGATAGGAATAGGCAAAATGGAAAGTCATGGCACTCCAGCCAGGTCTTGATGTGCTCATATTCAACTCAGCGTCCACAGGTCCCACCATCCCCAACGGCTCATCCCTGGGGATGGACTCCACTGCTTCTGAGCCTTAGACTGGAGGGCCAGGGTCTTCCCACGGGTCACTAGCACTGCCGGTTGGCTCATCTGGAGCCTTTGGAGGAATGGGGGCGCTTGCTGCGATGGCGGGTCGGAGGGAGATGGAGAGTGGGGGTTCCTCAGAGGTGGGTGGGGTTGGGCTGGCTGGAGGTATAGCCAAAGCTTGGCCGAGAAACAGGGTCTTGGGGAGGAATGAGGCCGGCTGGAGGGGAGATGGGGAAAGGAAGTCTGGGGCGTAGCTCAGAACTGAGGCTGACTAGGGTGGAGCTCCAGAAGGGTCCGGACCGACTGGGGGCGGAGTCTGGGCGGACCAGAGGCGGGCTCAGCTTTGAGACGGGGCAGAGTCTTGGGCGGAGCGTGGGCGGGGCTTCGGGAGGGCGGTGGCAGGGCATGGACCGAGCCTGGGCTTTTAAACCCGGTTGGGGGCGGAGTCGTGGGCATGGGCGGGGCTCCATCCGTGGGCGGGGCCGGAGCGCCGTAGGGGGCGGGGTCGGGTGAGAGCACGGCACTCCGGGTGTGGCGGCCCGAGCGCCGGGGGCGGCGCCACGGCGGGCGGGGCGGCCGGGGAGCCCCTGTGTGGCCTTGGCCATGAAGCAGCAGCCGCCGGGCTAGGCCCGGGGCGGCTCCAGGCCTGGGCGGCCCGCAGAGGGCTGAGCCGGTCCCGGGCTCCGGTTCCGGGCTCCGGTTCCCCGGGCTCCGGTTCCCGGGGCGGAGGGTGACCACTCACCATGCCCGGCAAGCACCAGCATTTCCAGGACCCTGAAGTCGGCTGCTGCGGGAAATACTTCCTGTTTGGCTTCAACATTGTCTTCTGGGTGAGCGCGGGGTCTGCTCCGCGTCCTGCTCTGGGGACGGGTGTGTGTGTGAGGCAATCTCAGTTTCTGGGGGAGACACCCTTCTCAGGAGCTTGCGACCGGGAACTGTCCCCCGATTCCTTCCACCCCGGTCCCCAGTCCCCAAGAACTGTTCTGGGGGGGCTACTGGGCTCACAGGGGCGGGACCCAGTCCCAGCAGAGGGGGTTCGGGAGGCTCGCGTTGCAGCACCAAGTTTGGGTGAAAAGGGGCGGCGTTTGCCGGAAGACTGCATGGGCGTGGTAGTTGCGGGATGAGCCCCGCCCCACCTCATGGCCAGTCTAGCTCCTGGCGTGGTGCGTGAGGTCCCTGCGGTCCTAGCCCACCACAGACGGGAAGCTTGTGAGCCAGGAGGGCAGGAAGTGGACAAAAGCCAAGGCCTCTGGGGCCGCAGGGAGAAGGAGCTCGGGTTGAGAGCAGGGAGCTGTCCCTTGGGCACAGAATTCAGCATTCCATAGCTGCTGGCACCTTCCAGGGTAGCATCTGTTTCTTTTCTTCCTCCTCCATCCTATCGCCAAGGCGGGCTCTGCATGCTCTCCTTCAAGCCAGGCCTTTCCAACTTGTTTTCAGCAGGCAGGGTTCAAGGACTCTGCTCCCCCATGTGCTGCTGGTTTTGCCCTGTGTTGGGTGCCCTTGGATCTCAGCGGTCTGCTCTGGAGGGTATGGGCAGCTGCCAGGATCACTGCCCTGAAAGTCAGAGGGCTCCAGTGTAGCAGACCTTGTCCAGGGGCTTTTGGGCAAGACACCTTTACTCTCAGGGCCTCAGCTTTCCAGCCTAGGAGTGGGTGGTATCGGAGTTTGTCCTCCTTGGTTGTTAGAGTAAATAATGATTTTTTTGTTGTTGTTGTTGAGACAGGGTCTCCCCCTGTAGCCCATCCTGGCTTAGAATTTACTGCAATTTTCCTGTCTGAGCTTCCTGAGTGCTGGGATTACAGGTGTGAGCCATCATACCGAGTTTCATATTAAAGGAGTTGTAATGAGGCACATTCTCCCAACTACCTTGCTATTATCTGTAGTTTGCAGATAGGGGACTGTCTGTAAACTGAATAGACACCAAGAGGTTAAGACAGTTGCCGAGAGCAGCAGATGCTTATCAGGAGCAAGCCAGTCACTCTGAGTGTGTTCAGTGCCAGGTGGGGGAGGGGGAGGCAAGAAGTCCTAGCTTTGTTCCTGGGTCTGGGCAGGGGAGTGAAGGTGGGCAGAGCATTGAAGTCCTGTGCTTGGGCAGCATGGAGCAGAACTGGGTCAGATCTAGCCAGCTGCAGCTCTATGGAAGTGTGGCTGGGGAGGGGTCTGGGACCTTGAGGCCCTGGTGTCCCTGTTCTTGGCTCTGCTTGTGCCATCTGGACATTGACAGACTTCATCTGGGCAGCCTGTGTCTCCTACACAGCCTCAGTCTTTCTTACTATCTGGCCTCAAGTCCTCGCTTGGAGAGCCATGACAGTCAAGGCCAATCACCCTCTCATCCCTGACGCTGGGCAGCTCCCTAGACACTCGGTCTGTGGGGAGGACACACCATTAGACTGTCGACTCTCCACCTCCACCCACCCTTTCCTTCCCTGGTCCTGGGTTCTGTCGCTGCTGGATTCTCCCTGGAAATGCCTTTTCTGTGCTGGTGTGGGGACGTGCAACGGCGCATCACTTCTGCAGCCCACTCTATCTGATCACCTCATCTTTGGACAAAGAACTTGAATTTCCCAAACCCCTCCCTGTTCAGCCCAACCCCATTCCTCCTCCTCCTTTTCTAACTTCCCCAGCCTCCTGCCCTGTCTTTGCCCTTCACCCTGGTTCCAGCCTTAACCTCCCATCCTCCTTCCTCTCCACAGTCATTTCAGCGTGTTGGGACACTGGCATCTCTCTGGCTCCAGACCCTCACATCTCCCCTCCTGTTTCAGACCCCTCAGTGTCCCAGGCAGCCTTTAGCCCTGTGAGCAAAGCAGTAAAGAGGCCAGCCCTGCTCTTGGCCCCATGCCAAGGCTTATCCCTGCATAGAGGAAACACCCACCACCTGGCAGATAGATATCCAGGTGGCTGGAGAAGGTGGTGGGCTTCAGCTGGGGTTTGAATGGCAAGGAGGCACAAGAGGGAGAGAAAGGTTCCGGGTAGAGCACCCAAAACGGGCCAAGGCCCCCCCGGTTATTTTCAGCTATGTCATGGATTGGAGGCCAGTCTTGACTACGTTGAGATCCTGTCTCAAAAACAAACAAAACAAAAACAAAGGCACAAGTTCACCTGAGCCCAGATGCTTTCTGGGCTGGGGGGGTCCTCTCAGCAGGATTCTGCTCTATGTGGGGAGAGTCCTTGGAGAGTCCACGAAGGGGCTGATGTCCAGTCTGAGGCTTGGGGTGGCTTCAGGTGCTCTAGCTAGCCTGTGGGAAGACTCCCTGGAAGGTGTCCTCCAGGGTGGGGAAGGTATCCACCACGCCCCACTCATAGGGCCCTTCTCCCGCAGCTTTGGTCTTTAAGGGTGAGATGTGAGGAAGAGTCTGTGCTGGTGCCCAACTCTGACCTCTCGCTGTTTTGCAGGTGCTGGGAGCCCTGTTCCTGGCCATTGGCCTCTGGGCCTGGGGTGAGAAGGTAAGAGAGAGGGGCTCAGGGGTGAAGGGGGGGTCACTTCCTCACGCTGTCCACTCCCCTGTTGCAGGGTGTCCTCTCCAACATCTCAGCGCTGACAGATCTAGGCGGTCTTGACCCTGTGTGGCTGTTTGTGGTGGTTGGGGGTGTCATGTCGGTGCTGGGCTTTGCCGGCTGCATTGGGGCCCTCCGGGAAAACACCTTCCTGCTCAAGTTTGTAAGTGTCTCTCTACCCCAGTATACATTGGAAACCCCTGACTGCTTTCCATTCAGTTCTTGCCTAGGCATGGTAACCAGACAAGGAACAGGTAAAACCACAGTCCTTTGTCAACACAAAACGGCATTAAAGGGCAGGGAGCAAGCTCAGTGGTAGAGCACTTGCCTAGCACACACAGGGCCCTGGGTTCCGTACTGCAGCACTGGGAGGGGGCAGCACCCAAATAGCGGGTAGAGACGAGACTGGGGCTCCGTTGGTTCTTGGCAGAGGTAGTGGGGAGCTCTTGCCTGTGGAACCTCCAGACTTGCCAATCCAATGCCTGCCATCTGTATGCCCCCAACCCAGTTCTCTGTGTTCCTCGGCCTCATCTTCTTCCTGGAGCTGGCGGCAGGGATCCTGGCCTTTGTCTTCAAAGACTGGATTCGAGACCAGCTCAATCTCTTCATCAACAGCAATGTCAAAGCCTACCGGGATGATATTGACCTTCAGAACCTTATCGACTTTGCTCAGGAATATGTGAGTGCAATGTCCATCATGGGCCCCATGCAAGCAATTCCTGCCGGGCATGCAAGAGAGGGAGCGAATTCTCTGTGTGTGTGTGCATGGACCACTTCCTCACCCGCCCAGGCCAGCAGATGCCAGGGAAGGAACTAACCTAGGATAGCCCCTGTCCCAGGAGAAGTCAGCTCCTGCTCATGCTCCAGGCTTCCTCGTGCCTAGCTCTGTAGGGACACAGGCGTGTGAAACTGGCCAGAGGAGGAAATGGAGAGTACAATGCAAGTCTCTTTTTCTACTCAGTCTGGGCCCAGAGTACCTGCTGTGTTGTTGATGCCCCATTACTGTGCCACAGATTTTGTGCAGAATTACAGCTGCAGCCCTCTTCTACTTCCAGTATAGTCACTTAGGTTTGGTAACAGGGCCTCTCTGAGAAATGCATTGCTGGATGAGTTTGTCATTGCGCAGGCAGTTGCCAAGTCTCTTTTTTCAATTTTTTTTATGTATATGGGTGTTTTGCCTGCACATATATGTATGTGCACCATGTGTGTGCCTGGTACCTGAAAAGGGCAGGAGAGGGCATCGGATCCTTGAAACCGGAGTTATTGATGGTTGTGAACCACCATGTGGGTGCTGGGAATTGAACCTGGGTCCTTGGGAAGAGCAGCCAGCGCTCTTAACCACTAATGTGTCTCTCTAGCTGGAGCACAGTTGCTTATTTTCATCAAGTATTGTGCACTGTCTGTAATTTCAAGTTCTGTACTTAAAGCACTGAAACCATTCCCACCTGTGCATTCGAGTCCGCGCAGGTCCTTAGGGCCACACCCTGCCACACCCACTCACCTTCATTAAGATTTGGCCCTGGGACTCAGCGGTGCCTTGGAGCTGCCTGGGGGCAGAAGCAGCCATGCAGCCTGGAGTTCCCATGTGCTTTCTGTCTCTATTCAATATGGAACTAGGACAGGCCCTGAGCCAGATGCGGGGAGATTCGGGGTTTTAAAAATGTGCGGCCTGTTCTCTTCGTGACGGCAGTGTGGTAATTGGGAGATGATGATGAACATACAGAACAGGGCTAACGGGGGCAGGAAAGTGGGGGAGGGGGGAGAATACACTGAGGCAAGGGCTGAAATGGAGAAAGTAGGGCGGGTAGCCCTGGAATGGTGACCTTGATGCCTCCCTGAGGAGGGGAAGGGATCCGTGGGTGGGTAAAGACCTCCCCAGCAGGGGCCAGCAGGGGCCAGCAGGGGCCAGCAGACGATAGGGCAGGTGCTGGCTCTGTTGTCTGAGTCCTGCACACACAGCAACATGGCCGGGCGTCATGGCCCTGGCTGTGCTCACAGGGCTTGTGTCTGCCGCTGGCTGGCTGTTGCTCGTCCTGGAGCTGCCCGGCCTCACAGCCGGCCTTTCGGCAGCTGGTACAGTTCGCGTAGGGCCTGCACTGTCGCACACTCTGCCTCTTGCGCCGCAGACTTGGGCTTGCATGGCCACAGCCACATGTGGGAAAGTTAGCAAGGATGTTCTGGGGAGGGGACTGTGACTCCAGCGTGATCCCAGCAGAAGTGGATTGGGACGGGAAAGCTGTCTGGGCTCCTCTCCTGTCCCTGCAGTGAAGGTTTTGCAAAATCTCCTGGTCAAGTGTGGAGAGACCCAGGGCAGACATCAGGGTCTGTAGAGCCTCTGTCCCCTCAGGACTTGGTCTTGCTCTTGCCTCTCGGAGACACCCATGTGGAAGCCACAGCCTTTAAGCAGTGTCCCGCCTCTTAGAGTCCCCTGCCCACTCTGATCCTATGGGCTCAAGCCTATCTGCTGGAGGGATTGGGGTTCCCCTCCAGCCAGCCAGCCCTCTCCTTTGGGTTTCCCCAAACAGGGAGAGTGAAGCTCTGGGGTTAGCCCTGGTTTCAGTTGTGTACGCCCGAATCACAGACTCTTCTCTCTCCCTAGTGGTCTTGCTGTGGTGCCCGAGGGCCCAATGACTGGAACCTTAATATCTACTTCAACTGCACTGACTTGAACCCCAGTCGTGAGCGCTGTGGGGTGCCATTTTCCTGCTGTGTTAGGGACCCTGCGGTGAGTGGGGCTATGGGAGGAGGCAGGATCCCCAAGTAGTAGGAGGTGCATGCCATTGTGCTCTGGTATCAGGAGAGGAGCTGAGAAGTCTGGAGTTTCACAGCAGATGAGTGGGCACGGCAAACCCAAGCTTCTGTTTGTGTTTCTGTGTAGTTCAGGACCCAGTGAGACCATGGGTGTTCCCTTAGCACATTGCTAATGGTCTGTCTCTCCCTCAGGAAGATGTCCTCAATACCCAGTGTGGCTATGACATCCGACTCAAGCTGGTGAGAGGGGTGGGGACAGGGTTGAGGTACCTGGGGTACAGGGGTGGCATAGTGGCCTCTGGTAAGCTCCCTCGGTAGGTCTCAGGGCTTCTGTGGGGGGGACTGGCCCCAGGTGGGTGTGAGGTCTTGGGTTGCTCATTCCATGACATTGCTGTAGGTGGCATTGCTCTAGACTCTGGGGACCCAGTGCTAAGGCATTGTCTCTGCACTCAAAAACAGTGAACGCGTAGGCACACTGATATGGACAGCCATGAGAGCTTGGGCGGTTGATAAGGTAGGGTCCGTGTGCTCAGAGAAAGCCTCTTTAGCGGAGCCAGGCAGCCTAGGCAGGCTGGGCCTGTAGACCCGGGCTGAGGAACAGAGCTGCAGGCAGGCTGAGTCTGGTCCTGTGTGTCCTCAGGAGCTGGAGCAGCAGGGCTCCATCTACACCAAAGGCTGTGTGGGCCAGTTTGAGAAGTGGCTGCAAGATAATCTGATTGTGGTGGCCGGGGTCTTGGTGGGCATCGCCCTCCTGCAGGTACAGCCCTGCCCTCTCCCTCGCCCGTCTGACGCCGCCCGCTTTCCCTCACCAGCTCTCTGTCTTACAGATATTTGGCATCTGCTTGGCCCAGAGTCTCGTGAGTGACATCAAGGCAGTGAAGGCCAACTGGTGAGGCTGCCAGGGGTGATGGCCTCTGGTGGGGCCTCCTAGGAGGTCCGTTTCTCTCACAATGGCAAGGCCTGCAGGGCATCTGTTAGGGCCTGAGTCCTGAGGGCTTGTGAGCAGGCGTGGGGAGCCACTGGGCTGTTTGCCACAGAGCTCTGTGGTGAGTGTGTGTGAGTGAGTGAGTGTGTGAGTGTGTGTGAGTGTATGAGTGTGTGAGTGAGAGTGTGTGAGTGTGAGTGAGTGTATGAGTGTGTGAGAGTGAGAGAGTGAGTGTGTGTGTGTGTGTGTGAGTGTGAGTGAGTAAGTGTGTGTGAGTGTGTGAGAGTGAGTGAGTGTGAGTGAGTGAGTGAGTGTGAGTGTGTGAGTGTGAGTGAGTGTATGAGTGTGTGAGAGAGTGAGTGAGTGTGTGAGTGTGAGTGAGTAAGTGTGTGAGTGTGAGTGAGCGTATGAGTGTGTGAGAGTGAGTGAGTGTGAGTGACTTGTGAGTGTGAGTGAGTGTGTGAGTGTGAGTGTGTGTGTGTGTGTGAGTGTGTGAGTGTGTGAGTATGAGTGACTTGTGTGTGCGTGTGAGTGAGTGTGTGTGAGTGTGTGAGTGTGTGTGAGTGTGTGAGTGTGAGTGAGTGTGTGTGAGTGTGAGTGTATGAGTGTGTGAGTGTGTGAGTGTGAGTGACTTGTGTGTGTGCGTGTGCATGTGCTCAGAAGTGCTCCTGGACTCACCACCCCGTTGCTGTGAGGTGATGGCCCTTTCGGGGCTCTATGGGAAGATGTGGCTGGGAGGGGAGGGAATGCCTCTCTGTCCCCTGTCTACTGTGAGGTGTATGTGTGTGTGGCTGTGGGGTGGGCGTAGGAGCCTGCTGTCTCCGACCTCTCCCCTTTCACCCTGACCTTGAGCCTGCCAGGTACCCGCCTTGGTCTCAGTGTCACAACTTCTGAAATGAGTCCAAGAATTTTCTCTCTCCCTTCCCTCTCAGGGTCACCCATGGTGATGGCTACAAACTACTCAATAAACAACACTTTGAAAAACCGTGGCTCATACTCACCGTCTTCGAAAGTTCTGTTGGCAGCTCAGCCCCGGAGTTCCCCAGTGAGGGCCCTGGCCTGAACCCAATCGCCTAACAAGGTCTCCAGGTCTGGGTAACTTAGCACCTGAGATAGCCTTTTAGATGGGTGTACTATTAGCCTTTAAGGCCACATCTCCTGAAGAATGACTGTGTGGCCAAACCCCTGCTCAGGTTCAGTGTCATCTACAGTAGGGTGTAGAGACACCCCACCTGGCCTCTTCTGTGTACCTGACCCCAGCGTCAGAGTGTTGGCCTTTCCCACCCCTACGGATTATTCTTGGAAAACACCCAGGGCTTCTATGTGTCAGCCTCGAGAAAGGCGTAAAGATCTGAAGAATGGGTACTGGAGGTCACCCCTAAGAGGTGTAGCTGGTGGATCCTAGCTGTGCCGGGCGCTGAGGTGGCTGTCAGAACTGAGCGGTGGGGGCGAGGGCAAGAGGATCATGCAAAGGAGTGCTCTGAAGCCCATGAGTCTGTTTTGGGGTCCATCAGCTGTTGGTTTAAAAACCGTCCTCCATGGCCTGCAGTGGTGCCTTGCAGCCACCAGGGGGCACACCAACACCACAGTCTCTGCCTTTGGCTTTCCTTACAACCTCTCCAAGCACCCACCCTGCTAACACTGGGTGGCTTGTAAGCTTCTGAAGAAGCTAACCAGCTCAGGTTTAGACAATCTAGCTGCCTGGAGGGATGGTATGTGTGCAGTGACCTGTCTCTACCCTTTCCCTGTGCTGGACAAAAGGAGAGGTAGTGTGGGTCAAAGGTCACAGCTCAGGTGCCGCCTTTTCCCTACATGAGTTACAATGAGTGGAATAGAGTGGGACCTGCTTTGCTTTGGCCAGGACCAGATAGAGGAAGACACAGCTTCTGCGATGCTAACATATCTGCAATCGGATGATGATAACGAGCTGCTTGGGAGTACAGGGTGCAGTCCTCACCCACAGGGGCCGTTCGGTGTGGGGATGCGGGGCTGACAACAGAAATCTCAGAGGCTGGGAACCTGCAGGCAGCACCGAGTGCCAGGGGCCCAGCTTCTGGCTCCTGTGTTCGCATCACTTACAGCGGCCCTGACTGCGAAGCCACGTGGGGGTCCTGGGAGCTGCAGCCGCATAGATTGACAGTGCGCACCTGATCCCCTTGTCCCGGCATAGGCTGCTCAGAGCTCTTGATGGCACTGGCTGTGGTGGTATGCACGCTGCAATAAACACAGCGCATAAAGCACTGTTTCCCCTTTCAGCTGGGCTCGGTGCTCCCTTGTGAATTGCAGTTTCTTTTTCTGAAGAGGAAACAGACCCCGAGAGGGGAGGGAGGCTGCCTAGATCATACGAGGCACACAGATCCTACCACCCCCTTGTGGTAGGAGTTTGGCATTGCACGTGTCTTCTTGGTCTGATGAGACCTGTATGCTGAGCAGGCAACCAATGAAGTCTGTAAGGGTGTAACGTTGTCTTTATTCCCCAAAGATCAGGCTCTGGGCTCTACTTAGGTAGTGACCCGGGTGGGGGAGGCGAGGCAAAATTCCTGCCCTGTGCTGCCTCCTCATGGGGGACAGATGGTGAGGAGGCAAGCATTTTTGTTGGTGATTATGCGCTATGAAGAAGATGAGTGACAGCTGGAGAGCCTGGGTGGAGGGTTGGGAAGGGCGCCATTTCTGGCGACAGCTTCTGTAAGGACTCCAAGGCCGTGGTGGGCTTGGTGTGAGGAGCTGGGATGTCAGGAAAGGTGTTAGTGAGTGGGGAGTGGGGAGCATGGACTCAGGAAGTGGAGGTACCAGGGGTTTACAACCGAAACTGGCGACATGGTGTAGGAGCGGGGACCTGGGCCAGACCCAGAGTTTCCCAGAACTCATCCTGTTACAAGATCTCCAGTTCTCCGTCTGCCTACCCGTCCTTCCACGCACCCTCCACTGCTTACCACAAACACACCATTGCCCACACAGGAGGCCCTAGCCAGAGCCTGGGGTTTCTGCAGCAGAGGCAGGCAGGCAGCAGTCGCTGCTGGTGTGAGGATGTGGTGAGACACACGTGATTATCACTGAGTCGACTTCTTGCTCTCACAAGACGCCTCAAGAGAATCAGAGGGAGAACTGGCTCTTCTGGCCCATGCTTTTCGAGGATCCGGTCCGTCTTTGCTTGGTCCCATCCCACGGTCCTTGTGGTTAGCGGTCAGTGCTAGGGAGGGCAAAGTGGGGCAGCTGCTTGAATCAGGGCAGCCAGGAAGCACAAGGGAGGGGCTTGGGACAAGGCATGGCTCCTGAGGCCATGCGCCAGGGCCCGCTCCCTCCAGCTAGCCTCCCCTCTTATCACCTCTCTTCGTTACGAAGTCATCAATGAGTTAATCCACCAGAGAAGCCACAGCCCTATGAGCCTGTCACTTCACAAAGGTCTTATCTGTACACTGTCCTGTGAGAAGCAAGCCTTCAGCTGGGCGTGGGTGGCGTGTGCCTTCCATCCCAGCACTCGGGAGGCAGAGGCAGGTGGATCTCTGGCCAGCCTGGTCTACAGAGTGAGTTCCAAGACAGATCCCAAAGCAGTACAGAGGAACCCTGTCTCTAAAAACAAAACAAAAGAAGGGAGCCTTCAAATGCCGAGCCTTTGGGAGGGTATTCCAGCGCACGTTGGGGTTGATTGGAGACCTGCCTCCCGTACCCACAGCACATGGCCGCTCTCTGCACCAAGCGGTCCTCACCATCACAGGGGCCTTTTCAGATCTGCAGAAAACACAAGGGAACAGACGAGGCTTCCATCCTGCACTAGGTGGGTCTCTGGCCAGTAGGGGTCCAGGCCATCTTCCAGCTGTCAGGATGAAGTGTATACCAGTAGTGCCCACGGGCGTCCTCTAGAGCCCTAGGAGAGGTAGCTAGTATCTCAGACTAGCCAGAGGATTTGCCGTGACTCCTGGTACCCCCGGGGGAGGGTGTGAGTGGGGAGGTTGGAAGGACAGAGCCCAGGTTGACAAGTTGCTACATGTCTGATAAGTTGGTCTGGTGGGTTTGAAGGCAGGTGTCCCAGGAAACTAAGTATGTTGCTTGGTGGCAGCTTCTCCAAATGACCACCAGAGGGCAGCAGAGTGCAATGCACACAACATAGCCCACCAGCCCTGGCCAACAGTAGCCAGGTTCATTATCTCCTCTAGGGACTTGGAGTGACTGACATCCCAGGGATGCCTCCCAGTGCTTAAGGAGACTGTGTGGTGATATATGCCAGGCAGGGTTGGAGAGCATGATGGTGATGGCGGTAGGGTTGGGTATGTCATTGTTCATTCCTTAGGAGGCTAAAGTGACAGGCTCCACAGGCTCCACATGCTCCCCAATTCATTCATTCATTCAGGTCGGTCTACAGACAATGTTCTCAATACTTGAATATGACAGGGAAGCTATCCCCTACGCTCCCATGGAGATATCCAGACCTAGGGGTAAGCACACTTTCTCTGAAAGGAGCCAAATATTCTGAGCCAGAGTCACATAGCCACACAGCCACTCAGTTCTGCCCCTGTGGCATAAAGCAGCCCCAGACAGGACGTAAACAAGTCCCCACGGCCAGGTTCCAGGGACACAACCTGCGGATGCAGGAGCTGGGATGTGATCTTGTTTCCAGCTGTCACAAATCTTTGCCTTCCTTTCGATTTCTCTAACATTAAAATACAGAAAATTATCTTCAGCTCTGGAGCTTGATTAAAACAGGCTACAGGTTGAAGTTGCCTCACAGGCTGGAGTTTTTCTGTCCCCTGGTCGTCTGAGGACAGGTACAAAGCGTCACCGCTAGGACACAAACTCTAAGAACCACAATGCAACTGGTGGGTAGGAGGGGGCTAGCCCCAGTGTCGAACGGGAGGGGGGCTAGCCTCAGTGTCGAATAGGAGGGGGCTAGCCTCAGTGTTGAATGGGAGGGGGGCTAGCCTCAGTGTTGAATCGGGTGTCAGGGCTGGAGTGTGGTTGTCAATCAAGCACTTGCACAGTATACATAAGACCTTGGGTTTCTTCCCCAGCACCAATAATAAAACGGAATGGTGAAACAGGGACTCATTTTAGCTAAAAACAGATGACACTAAAGTCTCTTTAGTCTTCCAGCCCCCTAAGACCTAAGACCGCGGTCTCCTTCAGCATCCATGCAATATCCATGGTGCTCAAGTCTGTGTGAAATGGAAGCATCTGCACAGAACCTACACATGCCCTCTCCAGCCCCTTCTTCCCTTGTTAAATGTGTGTGACCGTTCTGCCTGCATGTGTTGCGTCTGCACCATGCACACGCCTGGTGCATGGGAGCCTGCAGAGGCCAGGAGAGGGTGTCTGACTGCCTTGGGACTGGAGTTACAGATGGCTGTGAGCCACCAATGAGTGTTGGGAATGGAACCCAGGTATCCTACAAGAGTAGCTAGTGTCCTCAACAGCTGACCCGCCTCTCCAGCACAGCTCCTTTATTTGTCTTTTTTTTTAAGTTTATTTTAACTAATACATAAAAGCATAAAATTGCATGCCTTAGTTGAGTACTGTGTCATATTTAGTTTTTTTTAGATTTTCTAATTTTATTGTGTGTGTGAGTATTTTGCCTGTGTGTCTGTGTGAGCACCATGTGTACCTGGTGTCTGTGGCACCAGAAGAGTGTCCTGGGACCCTGGGAGCAGGGTTATGGAGCCATCATGTGGGCCCTGTACAAGACCGACGAGTGCTCTTAACCCACCCGCCCATCTCTCCAGCCCACAGTGTTCTGATGCATGTGTAAATTACATTGAATGCTTGAGGACTGGCAATACTTATTTCTTCAACTATTTGTCATTTCTTTATGCTGAAAAATTTCAAAATCAGTTTTTCTAAGTTTTAAAAACATTTATTATTATTTTAATGTGTGTATGTATTTTGCATGTGTGTGTAGTGGTGTATGTGTGTAGTGTGTATGTATGTGTGTGTAGAGTGTGTATACTGTGTGTAGTGTGTGTAGTTTGTAGTGTGTGTGTGTAGTGTGTGTGTATTTTGTAGTGTGTGTGTAGTGTGTATGTGTGGTGTGTATGTAGTGTGTAGTGTATATATAGTGTTATGTAGTATGTGTGTGTAGTGTGCGTATGCGTGTGTGTGTGTGTGTGTGTAGAGTGTG